AGCGTAAAGGCTATTTATTTTACAATTTTATGACTTTATGTTCATCCATGCTTCACCATCACACATCTGTCACCAATATCCCAACCACCTTTATTTTATTCAAATTAGGTTTTGCAGCTCAAAAGTTCGGGTGGAATTTTACCCCCGTGGCTGTGACGTCAGATTTTCTCTGGAGGTAAAATTCCCAGAGGGTTAAATTCCACTACCCCTTATTTTAAATAGTGTTTTTTTGGTAAGCAAGAAATATGTATTCATAACAACCTCTCTGATCCTACCTGTTGATTTATGTATTGTGTCACCTTGTTTTTCTTTTCAAAATGAATATATCATATAAATAATTAAATAAATTCACAGAAAGCTCCCACATGATAACATAAATTAACTCATAACAACCATCCCTACCCCAACAACCCACCCGACTTATCTTCAACTACACCTTACAATTAACATCTTTCAAATAAAACAAAAATCAACCAACCTTACCCTAACCAGCAGCTGCAGCAAAATTTCAATTCATAATTAAACAATTTTCATTTTCCTAATATACCGTACCTGCTACAGCTGCAATCCCTTCCATGAAGAGGACATAGTCGTATAACAGCCACAGTAGGTTTCAGCACACTGGAACTTAAAGATCACGTCATGTATTGTTTAAAAGAAAATAAAGTTTTCATTCTTACTTATACAGTGTTTAGGCATATGGTACACAAAATCGTTTACCTAAAATGAGTAACGTATAACCATTTTCATACCAAATATTTAGAATCACCTCTTCCATTAATGACAACCTTATGAAGTAAGATTAAATCCTCAGGAGTGTTGTATATCGTTGCATCAGTATTGACGCCTGCCGTTTACTAGATACTAGCGCGGAAGACTTGATTGTGTTGAGGAGAGCTGAGGGACTTGTAGGCGCATTACCACGCAAAATTATATATTTATATTTAAACCATTATTTTTATTTAGTACTTAATTTCCACCCCTGAAATCATCATCAATGGTAATGATTTTCTATTCACCGTCCGAACCAAACATTGTAGACACTAACATCAGCAGTTCAACAGAGTCTAAAGTCAATTAAAGTTTACAAAAATTGATTAAATTTAATTTTATTCTTTTCTTTTCAGAGTGCCGTTTGTACAAATCGACGCCTTTATATGTAAGAAAGAGGTCCAAACAAAATCAAAATTTGTTCATTTTTAACATGTTTTTAGAGAGTGCATAACGTAAAGTAATCGGTTTTTTTTGTTTTCAAGGCTAGCCATCGCTAATGGGTATTTCTAGTTAGGTTAAGTAGATTTTTTATCGTCCGAAACTAGACCCTGATCACTGGGCTTTTAATAATGGTCCTAGCCACATCTGATCTGATCTTGTAAAACCATGATAGTTTCATTCCCTTTTAATAATGTCAAGTTAAAAACGGTTGAAAAAATATGTATTGAGTGTCCCACTAAAGGTTTAATAGTTTGATTTGATATTACTAGCCTATTTATGTACTGGAACTTTGAAACTGTCACATTTTAAAAAGTTGGGTTTAAAAATAATATTTTATGAACATTTCAGTTCCAGTTTAACTATTAAACTACCCTATCTGCTGATCGTAAGTTTTAAATTAGTGTTATGCAAAAAAACTTCCTCATTTTCACCCTAAAACTTAATTATAAGGACAGAGCTTATGAATCAAAATATAACCAAATGAAATATGTATTTATTTGACCTGAACAAATAGGTCTTTTGTTGGTTATATTTTTGCCAATATCGAAGCGTGAATAGGCCTATTTCAATCCTATACAATACAACCGACAAACAGATAAACTATTTTAACTGTGTGCAGGTCAAAAGCTATAAAACACTAAAGAACATTTTTGTCATTACAAATCATGTGAATTCCTATAGATTGTTTCCTTCCACAACAGGGGAAGGATGAGTGTGAGGACTGAGGAGAAAAATTATGATGAGAATCACACCTTCCTGAGGCCAACCACATCGCACATGCCAAACATAGATCCTAGCACAGTTATGTGTCTCCGTGCCAACATACCTCCATTGTCCTGACCACGCGATTCTCAACAGACGCGGAAATAGAGATGAAATTAATCTTAGGCTATACAACCTTTACTGTTCACAATATAACTTGGTTTGTAAAAATAAATATATTTATCTATGGATAGTTAAGATGAAGCTTATTCGTTTGGCGTTTTGTTACCAATCCAAAGTTCAAATAAAGAGCTCACAATACTAATTTGTTGCAGGATCAGTCAGGATAGAATTGGCACACTGGAGATATACGTCCCGTAACTAAACAGCCAAACTCCGGATAATAGTTCTGTAGGTTGAAACGAAGAGAAAATCAGGGATATATATATTTTTTACATAAACGATTTTATCTTAGAATGTTTCCAACCGATCTTCATGAAACGTGAAATGTATTTTACGCCACACTACATTATTTTGACGAACTTTCTACGCAAGGATTTAGTCCAGAAAACAACTATTTGCCGCCAGCTTATTCAAATGGGGTTTCATTGCGTACTACTGTACTGTTATGAGTTTTGCCGGACACCAATCAGCTGATTATACTGTATTTAGGTGGCAATGAATGGTTATAAACAAAAACATAACCTCTCTTAAAGGTTATGACTAGTGATTTTTAGTCCTTTAGTTAGTGAAAATATATTAGGATTTGTACAGATTCAGTAGTATGGCGTAAACTATCGTACGTAACTCGTCCAAAATGTGTGTACCGGACTCGTATGGTAATCCCGTACTCGACTTCGTCTCGCACGGGAACGACCACAATCGTCCGGTAAACACTTATTTTCAGGCCTAGTAACGTAATACGGTAAAATAGACCTATGTTACAAACAATTAAGTTGATCCACTTCTAATTTCAAAATAGTTGCCGTTTGAATTTTCTAACTAAAATTACAAAAAATATAATTTTTTTTATAAAAAATGCCAGGTATACTTTTATTTAACATTTAAAATTTCCTATCAAATGGCAGAAAGTTTAAAAAGGATCAAATAATAAACTTAAATATCACGATGTTTAGTTGTAAAATAAGACAAAACAAGGGTACCAACGAATTCATTAATTTATTACTGGAGAAATTATGCCATTACAATGTCAAGGTACTTGCCTATACTCGACTTAATTCCGTATATTTTGCAAAGAGTTTTTTTATAACGTAGTCAGAAACTATACGAAAGTGCAATCGTATTTCGCACACTTTTTTACTGAACCCAATTGTAAATTATTGATAAAATCCACTGATAATTAGCTGTTTTCTACTAATCGGCACACACAATGATGCGCAGCCTGACAAAAAAATTAGCTAAGCTTTATTTAAAACACAAATCGTAATATTGAAGTTAGATAGACATTAAACTTAGATTCAAACCTTTTTGAACTTTGTGTCATTTTATAGGAAACTTTAAATGCCAAATAAATGTGTCAGTGGATTTTTTTTATAAAATCGGCCATTTTTAGTAAATTAGCTTTATATATATAATTAATAAGGATTGAGAACTTTTGAGAAACCGCACATCTATCAACCGCATACTTGAATGAAATGTCTTGATGTGAAACTTCCTTTTTCCAAGATCACAAACCTTAGCTATATTTAATCACAAAAAGATATTGAAGATGCATCAGCTGTTGGATTTGTTTTCATTTATATTGTTTGTTTACTGTTTCCCTGAGTTAGTTAATCTTTTGGTTCTCATTATAGATGTTTAAATTACGATAAAGTTATTATTTGTTTTTGATTCTGCCTCAGAGTTAAATACAAATACACAAAAAATTTTCATTAAAATACGCAATAGATATTTGCCTGTGTAATTTGCAGTGTAAGTGTGTAACTTATTTTTACAGTAGATAGTGACACACATTATTCTTTTAAAGTTGCAAGCACGGTCAAAACAACTAGTAATAACTAAAACGACCAAGACTAGTTCTAGTAAGTTAGTGGAAAAGTGTAGCCAATGAAATTAGCTGCGCCAAATCAACCCCACTGAATCCACAGCAAGATCCAGCAATTAAAGCTATTGATGATACTAAACTGGTACAATATCTATTATTTTTCTTTAACTATGACATTATAACAGATTTACACTTAAAAAAATGGTACAAAACTAAACCGGTGGATCCAACAATAGTCAACCCAACAATAAACAAAATTGTATAAAGTGTCTTTAAGTTTGTCTAGACTTATTATTCGTTGTCTTATGGCTACTCTCGATTAGCTGTAACAGACTTGTTTGTCTTATATAATGGCTACTTTTAAGCAACAAAAGGTGTTTATTACCTACCAAGATCAGCTAATTATTTTTTCAGACCCATTTACTTTAAGTCCAATGCTAGAGAATAGCTATGTACAGTTTTTGTTGAAACAGTCAAAAAGTTACTTACCTTTTCAGGATATATATTTTGCTCACCTACTCAAGAACTAGATACCAAGCTGTATTCTTATTCGGGGGTAAGAACATGACCTCATTAAGGTTAATGCAATTTGCCCAATACGAACGAAGGTAAACTCAATGAGAAATATTCAATGTATATATACATAAAGTACTAGTTTTACTTACATTTACATCACCTAACCTCATTTACATAACCATATTTTACATAGAGCAAACTGTTAACAGTGACGGCTCTTGCCTTTAAAATGTCCCTTATTTAATGTGTCCACTAAAATGAGATTGAAACTTGTAAACCAAGCGTTTTTTTCCAACCGATTTGACTTGCTAATAAATGTAACTACCAATGTAGATCTGACGGTCGAAGGGGGGGATTTTACAGACTTATTTTCTAAACAAACAATTCTAGACTCACCCTAGTGGTTTCATCCAAACTTTACTCTGAAGCGTTAGGTTTGAGGGAGTAATTAGTGATTAACAGTCTGGTACGAAGATGGCATGATTGAGCTTGGCGCTAGGCAGGAAATGAAGATACGCAGGTGACGATGAGCTGCGAATATAAATGTGTTGGCACCAGCCTTGGTATATATACCTGCAGACTCAATACTTCGACATATCTTGTAGGACCGTCATGCTCGCCGGACTCATGATTGGTAAGTGACAATTAAAATACTATATTGGCGAACATCACAATGATCGTTGATTTGTTAATCATTCATGATTCAATTATATATACAGGGTGTTTTTACGCAACCCTAATTACAAGTACTGTGAGATACTATTTAACAACAGTCCAAGCTTATGTTAGTATCCTTGTTTTTGTTTCGTTTTTTTACTTCAATTCCGATCCGCTTATATGCATTGTTGCTTAGTTATCTATGAGGTTTAGTATTATGTATAACGAGTTTATGATAAATAAGACTCAACATGGTGTTTAAAAAACTCAAATATGTATTGTAGGTCTAAGTTTTTGTTGTTGTTTATTATGGATCCGGTTTCCTTAAATTTGTATGTCTAAATAACTGTTGATTTATAAGGCACTGTAATCTTAATTTCAAACCTTCATAGGCATAAAACCAATGATTTACTTTTAACTTATACTTTTCTAACTCTTTGAGCTTGGGAAAACACCATGTTGAGTTTTATTTACAATAAACTCCGAATAACACAAAACCTCGTAGAGAACTATGCAACAATGCATATTATCAGCTGATCGGCTGATACCAACATATGTGCATGTTTTGTCGTTTAACAGTGTCTCAGAGTAGGGGCCTATTTCTAATTTGGGTTTGGTAAAAAAACACCCTGAACAAAACACTCCCTTGCCAAATTTACAAAACTTATCAGTGAGATCCGTAAGAAACACACGAGCTTTGATTTCAATACCTTTGCATGAGACAAATCAGTAAAATACTCTACTTATTTTTATGGTGGTATTTACGCAAATTCTCAGTAAAATACCTTATTTTCACAATTGCATTTATCTGAACGTCCTTTTTTTGTAATGTATTTGTATGGGTGCTAGAATCTTGTTATGTATCAGATATGTTAAACTATAGCATCTTTTATTACGTCACACAAATTTTCCAAGGGAAAAATAAGGGAGATAAAGTTTTTATTTATCACACTCAGAGAGCGACGTATTCAACTATGATCTATGTTGAATGAATGTTGGCTGCTGCACGTCCATTTGGATGTGAGATATGATGTCTCTTCAGTACCAACAAGTCAATGCCACTACATACCCCCTCCCAATTAACTACAACCAACCCACTACTCATCACCTATGTGGGTAATCTGCTGTTTCCAGAAGTGTAAATCTATTGTACGATCTCTTATGCTAACTTGTAAAGACCATTATGCTAACTTGTCGAGTCTCTTGTGCTATCTTGTCAAGTCTCTTGTGCTAACTTGTCAAGGCTCTTGTGCTATCTTGTCAAGTCTCTTGTGCTAACTTGTCAAGGCTCTTGTGCTATCTTGTCAAGTCTCTTATGCTATCTTGTCAAGTCTCTTTTGCTAACTTGTCGAGTCTCTTGTGCTATCTTGTCAAGTCTCTTATGCTAACTTGTCAAGACTCTTGTGCTATCTTGTCAAGTCTCTTATGCAAACTTGTCGAGTCTCTTGTGCTATCTTGTCAAGTCTCCGATGCTAACTGATCTGCATAGTCTCTTATGCTGTTCACAGGTCTGGGGCTACTCAGGGCGGCAGAAATGTCCCCGCATCTCAGGGTCAGTATTACAGTTAATTAATTTTGACAACACGCATCATAAATTAACAAAGTTCATCCTTTTTTTGTTTCTAATCTTAATACCATCTTGGATTTCTTTAGAAATTACTTTAAATGTACTTATGTTAAAATTCTTTTGCGTTTTGCCCAAAATCATTACACTATTTATTTTACAAACGTCACTTAAGTATGTGATTACAATCACTCGGAAGTTATAATTTACAACACAGAAACAAAAAGAAAATGTTGTTATTAATAACCAATACTTGAAAGTTGATCTTTTAGTTTTATTTAGCTAAATTTAGATAAGAAAATGCAACCAGTCCGTATGTTTGAACGTACCCAATCGTTTCAATCGACTGCATATTAATATAAATGTTTATAACGTAAACATAAACAGTATACGAGAGTAGTAATAGTGAATAGTTTTGTATCCAAACACATTAGTTGGTTGAAATGAGACTACAGCCGTTTAGAAACACTGGGTGTCTTAAGGTGGTCATTTACATGTTTATAACAATTGCAGATATATTACTACTAAAGATTACGTTTGCCGGACGGACTCATGACTTCAGTCTCGTTGGAGCCATCACCTTGTGCAGACCTGTTAGTCGTGTGTGTCTACCGGTCTACCCTCCATTTGTACTAATTATTTTATTTTGGGGCTTACACAGTTCTCGGAGTGGGTTGTATTTTATGAGTTTTCAGCCTTAGGTGGGTTTGTGTAGGCCCCCATTATCCCCATCTTATCACGTGTTACGTACTGAATTAACCGGAAAAGGAAAATTCCAGACCCCAAAACATCGTGAAAATTTTGTTTTTCACTAATTGCAATGGAGATATCAGTAATCATCTCCCAAATAATATTAACTCACCATCAAAATAATGAATTTCAACCCAAGGGGTAAGGAGTTTGTGAAATTAACTGCACCAGTATTCAGCGAAGTAGCTTGTTAATTAGTTTTAAAAAGTACGAAGACAATTTTATTTTAACTCCTATGACTCCACCACAGCTTAGACGGGAGGTATCTCCAGACGACCTCGGGTTACCAAGCAATGCTACCTCCATACGAGAGTCGATCTCCACATCCTTCTCTTGCGACGGAAGGACCTACGGCTACTACGCAGATCCTGATAACGACTGCCAGGTCTTCCACGTGTGTCTTCCTGTCCACTTCGACGACGGCGAGGAACAAACGTTCAAGTGGAGCTTCATCTGTCCCCAGGAGACTGTATTCAATCAGGTTGGTCCTGATACGTGAAGAACAATATTTTATATCCAATCATATTACATTAGCTACTGGTTACGTTTCTCTCTGGCCTAGTGGAATATGCATGTGTAAACACTATTACACCATTTCTAAGACTAAGAAAATCTAAAATTTGTTGTCCAATAAGATTGGGAATTTTAATAGTATGTAGCCTCAACACCTTTGCTTGCCTGCCTGAAATATAAACGAGTGTTCCTCGATCGAATGCCAAAAGCGGGGATCGCAATACAAGATCCAAACAACACATACTAAACACCTAAACACACATTTTAAAACTCAATCTTTCCAATGTTCAGTTCTTTTCTATAACTGATCCCGTATTAAATTATCTGCAACCAAGTAACATAATGCTAGGTCTACATAGATTAAAGGAGTAGACACTACTACTGTCAACTCCTTAAATCTACGTTCCTACCGAGTCGACGCTTCAAACTATTAGGCGTACTTAATTTATTTTATCTAATACAGGTTTATAATGTATTTTATATACTTTCTTTTACCTACATATGTTCTGTGGGAGTTATCATAGAACAAAGCTTTATTTCTGAAATATACTGGTCATAAAATGTTAAAACTTTAAATTCCTAAAATAAAGCTTTACATGGACTTTGGAAACCATTCTAATTGTTTCCTTTCAAATCCTTATTTATGTTGTACCATGAGTAACAGATACACATATGAGTTCCATATAACATATAAAACATATGAAATATAATAAATTAATAATTGAGTTAGTGTATCTGTATTTGAGGTGTTGTTGTGAAATAGGACATATTAAAGGAGAAAGCGTTTTTTGTCATTTTACAATAAGAGGAAGCCAATTAATATTTTTGTTTGGGTGAATACAAAATAGCTATTTGTTTATTAAGAGGACAAAGTACGTCGTTGCCACTCGAGAACTGTAGATGACGATGCATACATTTCGAGAGATTGCAATGACTGTTTTTGCTTGTAATACTCACAAGTATTTTCCTACTACCATGTTTAACTTATCATAACAGTCAGATTAACTTTTTTTTAGTTATATATAAAATGTAATTTGGATTATGTTTGCTTTTTTATTACGTTGTTCACTTACAGCTGATTAAGCTAACGGGAATAATCATTCCCGCTCGTGAATACCAGCGTTGACTTCATCGTTGACGCCAGCGAGATGAATAAAGCGGAAATGATATATTTTGCGAACTGTTTACAGGTGTGGCAATGTGATCATTTCCATGCGTAGTAGGAAAGAAATAACGATCTCCTTAGATATTATTAATTGTAAAAAGGGTTCGTTTTCATGGGTACAACACATATACTACATATGCTGTTGATGTTCATAATACATGTTTAAGGTATATAGATGCAATGTAACAAGTAAATCAATGTTGGAGTTTTTGTTGTTGCAAACGGTTCTAATGATAATCTGATGTTACCATCCACAGGAAACATTCACTTGTGCCAGGGAAGAGGACGCTGTAGCTTGCGAAGACTCGGCTCTCTTCTACTCTCTCAACGATCGCTTCGGACAGCCTAACACTCTTCCCCCACCGACAGAATCTACCGACGAAGTTCCACCATTAGAGTCTAATATCCTTATAAATTAGTTCATGTAAATAAATAGTATTTATTTTTGCATTTAGTAATCATTAGGCTCATTTTTCTCAAAGTAATTAGGAAAGTCTTTGATATGAATCCACAAGACAAACCTAGTTATACTAACAGAACACACTCACTGAACTATTCTTATAACTACATGTCTTATAATTATTCAAACTTTTCTTTTTCTTAGGGGTACAAATGTACAAACTCTCTGTCAACCCACAACTTTGCACTACAAGAAATAAAATAAAGATTACCGAACATGGTAGCTCAGTAGTAGCTTCTGGGATGGTAAGCAAGGCATTCCTAGTTTGAGAATGGACGACTGTACTATATTATCACTATAATCACGACCGGATTGTCTATAAGACTCATAACAGCTCTTTACTGCCTTTCTTTAATTGCTACACGGACCAGCAGGTCTATGGTGGCCAGAGACTCAAGTTTTTGTTTTACTGTTCGTGTTGGTAGGTTGTGGAAAGTGATAGGGACCATTCAAGTCTGATTTGGCCAGACACTTAATTTTATTCATTTACTGTGTTAGTATTGGTCGCTTGTGAAATAAATTTTGGATCATCCAAGTTTAATGAAACCAGAGTATTAAGTTTATTGGTTCAATGTTAGTGTTGGTCGATTGTGGGAAGAAATAGTGACCATTCAAGTATAATGTGGCCAGAGTATCTAGTTTATTGGTTCAATGTTAGTGTTGGTCGATTGTGGGAAGTAATGAGGACCATCCAAGTATAATGTGGCCAGAGACTCGAGTTTATTGGTTCAATGTTAGTGATGGTCAATTGTGGGAAGAAATAGTGACCATTCAAGTATAATGTGGCCAGAGACTCGAGTTTATTGGTTCAATGTTAGTGATGGTCGATTGTGGGAAGAAATAGTGACCATTCAAGTATAATGTGGCCAGAGACTCGAGTTTATTGGTTCAATGTTAGTGTTGGTCGATTGTGGGAAGGACCCGTGAGACGGTTGCGCTGAATCATAATTTGTTTGCATCACTAATCGCGTATTTCGCGCCGCAGCTGTCGAAACGGTCCTGCGCGTACTAGCTCCTACACACGCTTTAGGTATCAACACTCTATAACTAAAAGCCTTATAAATCAACCCTCCGAGAATCATGTTTCAATGTAGATATCCTAATTAAAAGTATGTGTTATTCTTCACCACTAATGGAGTACATGTACTTCTACCATTTCCATATCTTTGACACAAGCAAAGACTGTATTTCCACTCGGCTGGATGAAACTATATACACGTTTTTTAGTTGATGGACCAATTAATAGAAAATTCTCCGTGTTTACTAGAGAAAGAAATCAATGCGGTTATAATGATTTTGCATCATTGTTTCAACACTTCCTCTGAAACATGTAACATAAAAACAAGGAATTGTATTTGGTAAAATAACAGGATTATCACATATACACAGTTTAATTAATGATAAGATTGTAATTAGCTTATATTTACAATTTATTTTTTAACCTTAAAATAAAATTTATTTGGATACGATTTTCCATAAGTTAATCTCTGTTAAGTATAAATTAACTTAATATTAAGGTAACACAAAATAACACAGTAGCTATTCTTAAAGACAAATTTGCATTGCAAATCAATTCACTATGCATTTTTTTTCAAATGCGGTAGATTTCCACACTAGGACAGTATAGTAAAGTGCGCATTAGTTATAAAGGGCGGGAACCGGAGTTTTGCCAACGGGTGTCAGGTAGATGGGGGGGATGCCTTCGGCCACCTCTTGGTGCGGAGATTTGCCAACGGTGGTGGTGGGAGAAAGAGTGTGACGGAGGGAGGGAGAGCGATTGTCAGGGTTGTCTACGCTTAGCAGTTATGCGCTTGTCGCAGTGGGTTAGGTTAGGTTAGGTTAGGTTAGGTTAGGTTAGGTTAGGTTAGGTTAGGTTAGGTTAGGTTAGGTTAGGTTAGGTTAGGTTAGGTTAGGTTAGGTTAGGTTAGGTTAGGTTAAAAATTCAATACATTTCCTTTCACAGTCAGAGGTGCATAACTCCATTACTTTGAATACAGTCAGCATCCTGCCTGGTTTTCCACCCCTAGCGGAAGCCACTCTCACGGTCACGTGTAATCGCTCTCGCTCAACCCACAACCGTTGGCAAAACTCCGCAGTATGTGGAATTCATGGATGGGGACCCTTTCTACCTGATACCCGTTGGCAAAACTCCTACACTCATAAAGGGCATATTCATCCCTTAAGTTTCTTTGGATGGTTAGTTTTAGACACACATTTTTCATTATGAAATTATTTTACATGATTCGTTAGGACATATTTTAGAACCAATACTACCAAAGTCATATTTCAGACCGTAATGGCTTCGAAGTGATGAATAAACAATTAAATGATATTTTACACTTAGCCTAAAACAAGGCAGTAGGAGTGTAGTGTGGCTAAGAATTAACTAGATTTGAAATATTTAAATGTAACTGCATAATTTGTTAACTTTAGAACGTAGTTCTGCATTTCTGTACTACAATAACTAATGAAGCACACAGCAGAACAGAATACTTCGATTAAAAATGAATAGCTAATGATATTTACCAGCTTTAACCTACAAATCCTCATTTATTTTACTTAGTCTAAATTTAACTTCAGTCTTCATTAATATTTTTACTTTTAGTTTTAAATTTGACATCGGAATTTGCTTTTTCAAGCTACAACCATTCTCGATTTTTTTAGCACATACCGTAATAATCTGATCCCAATTGAAAACACACTCACTTGTTAAAGTGGTTTAAGGCTTAGCAAATAAAGGTTTGAATCGGTATATTCAGAGATTCAAAAACATTATCCAAGCAAGTGACCAACAAGGTCATCAGTGTTCAACATGAAAGTTTCAGTTAGGCTTTTGCCGTCTACCAACTTGGTGTATAGAAGGGTTGGTTGTACGATGGACGGTTAGTTCAGGTATTTAGCAAAGTTATGTCCAGCGAGGAGTGTTTCTTCTAGATCATGCTTCAGAACAGTCTGCAGATCGAAGTTCAGCTTCTAGATCCTCTGGGCTTCGCAAGTCAATGGCAAACTTCTTCCCTGACTCTGTCGCTCGCACGCTCTTGCTGTACTCCTGAAGCAAAATATCATACTGAATATTACAAAGATTTATCCGGCTTCACGTAAAGTCTTATCACAAATCACATGAAGGAAAAGTTTCTTGACTTCTTATACATATTCAAAAATACGTTTCAGTATGTATAACATATTTATAACAATAATATACAACAATACAGATTTGTAACCAGATTATTTTAGTTCGTAAAATAAAATACTTTGGAAAGGTTAGGTCACATCAATCTAATACATTTGGGAAATAGGCTGCTTATAGGCCAAATTGTAAACTGAAAATTAACTCAGAGGGATGATAAATTTTTAATCTCTTGTATTACAGTTTGCGCTTAGTTAATAAAAACCGGGCTAAATCAGTGATCAAAATACAAATTTCTAAGGCTCTTGTGACATCTACACTCTTTTCGGTACCAATAGGCACTACTTGAGAGTCAAACCTGAGTGAAAAACATGAAATATTATTATTGTTTTCTATTAAAGCAAATGTTATAAGTTTTAGTTATAGATATTAGTAATTAATAATGAAACTAATATTCTGATTTCCTTAATTAGTTATAAACTTACTTCTAAGGAGTCAGTGATAAATCAATTAATGCATATTTTTATACATAAGCTTAGAAAAGGCAAATTTAATATTACATTACCTTAAATTAAATTTGCGAGCCAAGCCCAAGTGTTGTCAATCATTAACTTGTCAGTAAACTATATAAAAGGCTTTAGTTGACAGTACTCCATGTCTTTATACAAACAGAGGAATGTGGGTTAAGCTCTAACTAATTACTTATAATGCTACACAATAAGCAAATGGTTTCTGGTCTCTTAGTAAACAAAAATGTTGTTTACAAAAATTGCTCAGTAAAATCAGCCGGAACTGGCTAAAATTAACTAAACACTTTAACGGTGGCTTTTTTAAAAAAGTATACGAGATTATTCAATAGGTTTTCAACGATGCTACCACAGAGCCCCAAATTTGTATAGTAACTCGCATTATTTTTCCAATATTAATTAATATAGGAAATGTTTGGAAAAGTTACATTTGAAAACAGATAGAAATTTCTATTGACATTATGTTTTGAAATAAATTATATGAAACAGTGTTGTGATTGAATGTAAGGGTTGTTTTTACTAGCCCTGTATATTTGTTACTAATAGTAAGGTTGAAGTGTTTAACGCGACTTGTCCCTGTAGGTGTAAACGGCACTTGCATAAAATCCCGCACTTTAAGCTCGCACCATTAACACTTATCTTTTGGCCAATTGTGGCGTTATGCAGTATCCTACTATTACAACGAAAAACATTAGTTCAGTATTGCACTTTTTCAAAGATGCTTGATGAGAACAGTGAAACAGTAGCTAAATAGTATAGTTCGCCTTAAGGCATGAAAGCATGCCAAGGTTGCTTGAAGCATGAAGCATTTGAAGCAAGTTCGGTATTTCATGTGAGAACAGGAAACTCCTTCCCGAATGCGTCGCGTATGATACTTCTCATCACACTACCAACGACAAATATATATGGTAGTTATACATAGCATCTGTATCATAAACACTATTTTAACAAAACAGTTTAATAACGTAATAATTTGATTAAATGCACTGAAACGCTTTTAAAACGTTTCTATTTTTATTTTTTATATATGTGTGTGTCTGGCCAAACCTGTCTATTATTTATTGTATAGTTTCTTTGAAGAAGGATATCAAAGAAACTCATTCTTTGCCTTTTTGAAAATAAAAAAATCAATCATCAATAATAATTATTAATTAGTTGAGATGGGGACGTATGTTAACCCAAATATGTGAAAAGGATGAATGTAGAATGTTGTGAAATGATCACACTGATCTACACAAGCTTTGTTACTGACTTACTGACTATGATCAGCTGTTTCATTGGTTAGGATAATTTAATTAAGTGGGTTTTACCCGAGAGCCTGAAGTTCAATTAAAGATGGCGGATTATATGGATTGAAATATAGTTTGAGATTGAACATGCCTCAATTGCACAAGCTCTCAACATTCAACTAATTTGTTTCCAATGATTGTGCGATTTTTGTGCTCTTAACATGTAAGAGCTTGCAATGGATGGGGATATATAAATTTTGAACTATTATTTAGAAGATAAAATCACATGTGAAAAAGACAAATTTACGGATTTGCATAATGACTTTCTAAATACCGTACTTAAAGAAACAATTACGAAGTTTCAGTTCATCCAGTGCATAGTTTGGATCTTTGTGAATATTTTACAATTCTTTTCAAGTCGATAAACACTTTAACAATGCCACGAGGTTATTTTTTGTAGGACCATGTTTACGCGGTAGTCAATGTGGTATCTCTCTTAAAGCCCAATAATCAGGGACAGTTGGGTCCAGTTACGAACCATCAAAAAGCTACTAACGTTTCTTAGGATCGTACCGGCACCCATTGATTGTTAGGTGAGCTCTTTTACCACTAAGCCACCCAGCCAGCCAATATCCCATATATTATAAGTGATCGGTAAATTAACCATACTACCGACTCTATCGGTCCATTTCTATAAACAACGAGTTACTGGGCTACAAAGAGTACAGAAACAGGGCTAGTTACTGTGTTGTGTGGTAAAAAGTAATAAACAATTAAAAAGGCAAAACGAGAACCTGGAAAGCAGTGGCGAGGCAGTAGGTAACTTTCCTAGCGGTTTGGCGACTCTCGCAAACAAACGCATGGCATTGGAAGGGACTTCTGTCCATCTTGTCGTGAACCACAATCATGCTGAAGACACGGGTATACACCAGGTCTTGTACTCCGTAGGACACCGTGTCTACAAACAGAATAAATACGTTAGTAATCATGTGGAAGACACGGGTATACACCAGGTCTTGTACTCTGTAAGATACCGTGTATACAAACAGAAGAACCATGTTAGCAATGATGCAGAAGACACGGGTACAGCAGGTCTTGCACTTCGTATGACACCGTATCTACAAACAGAAGAAACATCTTAGTAATCATGTAGAAGACACGGGAACAGCAGGTCTTCCACTCCGTAAGATACCGTGTATACAAACAGAAGAAACACGTTAGCAATCATGCAGAAGACATGGGTACAGCAGGTCTTGCACTCCGTAAGATACCGTGTGTACAAACAGAAGAAACACGTTAGCAATCATGTAGAAGACACGGGTACAGCAGGTCTTGTACTCCGTAAGATACCGTGTATACAAACAGAAGAAACACGTTAGCAATCATGTAGAAGACACGGGTACAGCAGGTCTTGCACTTCGTATGATACCGTATCTACAAACAGAAGAAACATCTTAGTAATCATGTAGAAGACACGGGAACAGCAGGTCTTGCACTCCGTAAGATACCGTGTATACAAACAGAAGAAACACGTTAGCAATCATGCAGAAGACACGGGTACAGCAGGTCTTGCACTTCGTATGACACCGTATCTACAAACAGAAGAAACATCTTAGTAATCATGTAGAAGACACGGGAACAGCAGGTCTTGCACTCCGTAAGATACCGTGTATACAAACAGAAGAAACACGTTAGCAATCATGTAGAAGACACGGGTACAGCAGGTCTTGCACTCTGCAGGACACCGTGTCTACAAATAGAAGAAACATGTTAGCAATCATGTAGAAGACACGGGTACAGCAGGTCTTGCACTCTGCAGGACACCATGTCTACAAATAGAAGAAACATGTTTGCAATCATGTAGAAGACACGGGTACAGCAAGTCTTGCACTCTGCAGGACACCGTGTCTACAAATAGAAGAAACATGTTAGCAATCATGTAGAAGACACGAGTACAGCAGGTCTTGCACTCTGTAGGACACCGTGTCTACAAATAGAAGAAACATGTTAGCAATCATGCAGAAGACACGAGTACAGCAGGTCTTGCACTCCATATCTACAAACAGAAGAAACACGTTACTAATCATGCAGAAGACACGGGTACAGCAGGTCTTGCACTTCGCAGGACACCGTGTTTACAAACAGAAGAGACATGTTAGCTTCTTCGTGTAGTACCGGTAATCCATTTTCATTTTCGTTCTGATATGCACCGAAACATTTGTACGTACGAATAACCTTATACTAACTGTCTAGAGGTACGAGACTCCACTGCTGGCTGCTGCAGTTTCAAAATTTACGGGATCATCATCTGGCCAAGGGTGAAGATAAATTTATAATTTCAGAAGAATAATAAAAAACCCATCACATTACACTAACCCACTTATCTATATATAAAATAGGCAAGCACGATTTTCTTCGGCAGAACTCGTCCATGGTTACTCAGCCGATTATGTTAGTTTAGGGTTCATTTGAAACATCTCATTCAGTAGATGTCATATTCGGTCTTGCATGTTGAAAAGGTACCCTGGGCTCAGCCCCATTGGCCTTTTAAATTCGTATGTTTACCTTTTTTGTTTACCTAGGATCAAGCTATTTCTTTTAACAGCTGGTTATATTTGTATATGTTTATGTTACTACAAATAATTTTTGTATGACACATGGCTAAGTAAGTTGTTTTATTTTGTTTCACTATTGCGGGCTTTTTTAATACGCACTTCTTTAGTACTCTTCTCTGTGGTTTTTAAAGACAAGCCACAGCGTCATACGACCGGTAATCGTATTTAGCTGGAGCTTCATCTGGACTCCGTGTACTGGTTCCAAAGTTAAAGTGTATCTTCCGAAACCTGTGTTTGGACACGGCCAGCTCTACGTTGCCGCTAGGTTGCTGAGCTACGGTTATTCGTAGAAGACACTTCCGAGCAGGGTTGCTTAAGAAATGATCTCCTAACACTTAAACATTGTTTATGGTGATCTGGTTTGACATAAAAAAACTACTGTTAAAGAATATAAAATGTGTATCTATTACACCAATGAGCGCATGAGTTCGTTCCAGGTTCGTTGTAAAAAAGCTTTGACGTTCACTGAGAATTGGAGGAAATGGAGTATAAATTGAGACTAATGGCTTGGCCATATCGGTCATAGGCAATGCTGTCTTTCAGTATTTTGAAACAACTGCATTTGGAAACTGTACTACGTAGTTAAATAAATTTGCACAATCGTGCAACCCCGGGACGTCCTAGACCTATGGAAACAGAGATTAAATATCCTTGAAGTACCAGTTGTCCTTCGCCTTAGAGGGGTTTCCATCACAAAGTCCATGGTTCTTCAAAATATTGCAGGACTTAGGCTAACATTTTCGTTTACCGTTTGTAGGAACCAAAGTTGTGTTCTTAATTATGTAGACTACTACAACGATTAAAAATGCTTAATAAAAGATTATCTCTATTCCTTTAACTCGGTGGCGTTCTATGACTTTTCTATGTTTCAATAATTCGCAAATTGGTTCTTTCAATGTTTGCTCAAGAAATACAGTACTGCGTAATTTCAGTTTTCTTATTTGGTGAAATATATCAAATTGCCTAAGCCTTCTTGCCTTTTTCCATTATAATACGACCGGAAACCCACATTCAAATAAGTAAATATTTAATTTCAACTAAGTCAGGAAATATGTGTACATGGGCGCGTTTCCTTGAATATTGTAATTTAAAATATTAACAGCAAATAAATTATCCAGTTGATCATAATGTAAACAAATAATACTAACATGGAATTTTAAAAGCCACTGGGGCAGAACCCAGGTGACTTTTTCAAGATGTAAGACCTTAAATGACATCTACTGAATGAGATCCTTCCTTGAGAGCCATAAACTAACATAATCGGCTGAGTAACCACGGAGGAGTTCTGTCGACAAAAAACGTGCTTGCCTATTTTATATAGTATAATAACATTGTTATTACCATTGCATTACAATATGGACACGCTACTAGAGCATATTTTATCCTAAATATGACTGAATGACAAGTGTAGAATGAATCGAAATGTCGTTTGCTGCTTTTTTACAGAATAAGTTTGGCTGTTTCTTTTGCCAGGGATATTTATTTACTAAAAGCCTAATGATCCAGGAAGACTGGGTCGAATTTCGATCCATTAAAAATTTGTCAATTTTTTGGAATTGAACTGGAGACTATCTGATTGTAAGGTGGGAACTCGGTCACCACGCTATGGGCCCTACGCGTCGCCCTACAATTTTCTACCTACCAGTATTCGTTGGTATGGTTTACTCAATTGAAATCCACATGAAAATCCTAAAATTACCAAAGATATGCCAAGAAATTTATATTACGTGTAAATAACTATGAGTAAGCACCTCTTAGCGAGGAACTTTAGTCGAAAATCGCGTCACGATATAATAATTTCTTGACCAAGAAACGCTTGAATGATGATTTGAAAATGGACAAGTAACGAACCGGGCCGCATGGTGAAGCCACGGGAGACCGCTCAACCATTACAGTAATTATAGAGGGAATTGAAGCGAAAGCTGGTCCTGGTCTATATTAAATGACGTTTGGAGACATCTCCACCTTTGTACAGTTATTTCTTAGAAAATGTATAGTCGTCATTTGTCATTGGCCTCTCATTAATTAGGTTTACTCAAAACTGATCTTCTGGCTTCGATAACAAACTGACTCACATTGAAGATTAAATTAAATGTTATTACTTATGATTATGTGTACTCTTCGCACAGTCTATCAGTGAGACATAACACATCAGAGACATCAGCCAATCAGCCTGGATAAGCTGGAAGCTAAAATCCCCATCAGAGGTTCCGGATTGCAAGACATCATGAGGTGCAGGATATGCCTCAGTGTGACTGGAAATCTATCAGACACATTTTTTAGATTTTTCCTGATAACCAGAGGTTTGAATTAGGAAATAAGGCAGGTGAATAGCTGTCATCTAAGACGTTCTTGTGAAACATTTTCAATATTATAAAATTCTGACATTTACGGGATTGTATATTATAGAATAATTAATAATCAGGTTACATACATTCAATTAGAAATAAGCTACGAATACATTTCAACCTCAGGTATGAAACTCGCAATGGAAATATGTTTACACTCCCTAGACACCATTTGACCATATACAAGTGCCCATTGTATTCTGGGCGGAGTTTGTACAATATGCTTCTTACATGCTACAAGTCATTGAGCCGAATAAAATTTAAATAAATAATAAATAATTCACTCATTAACAAGGCTTTTTAGTAATTAGATAAGCCACTTTAACACAACTTTCATTTAGAAGATTTTTTTCTGCTTGATTTAAAGTGTTCATTTTTCAGCTTGGTTTCATGTGTGTTATGATAAATGTTTTATGTACCATTTTTACAATGCAACAATTCTCAACGTTATTACATGTATTGAATGTGCTGTGCAATAAATAAATCATGTCTATGTCTTTAAGGGGTAGCTGTGACAGCAATCCGCTTTATAAAAGTATATACGATATTTTGACGACAAAGAGAACATAATTAGGGGTTTTAGATGTAAAGGTTTTGCACAGTGGTTTTATAGGTAACGGGTGTTAAAAAAGAATGGGGCCAAACTAATCAAGTGTATTTTGTGTTGATCTCGATTGGAACTGGAAACTGTGGAGAGAGTTTTGTTTTATTTTTTTATGTTTTCCCCTCGGCTACCTAAAGAGTTTAATGGACTTGTTTATAAAATTTCTACCACAACACACTAAATACGTTTTCTGTGTCAGAGTCCGTTTGCTGATGTTTAACGAAAGTAAAAAAAAATAAGCTTCTTCTTGTAATACGTTGTTAAAGCATTTTCTTTGGATATTCACAAACTTGCAGCCATTTCCATTGTTGGTATTACCAGATTTCAACCAAGGCAAATATAACAAATAGTTATGTAATTTGATTTTGACCTGAGTTATTCTGTAAACCAACTGTTTTAAACGGTGTTTATAAAAAAATAGATCAAACACCTGGTCTGTAAATGTAACGCCTAGATGGGAAGCTGCACCTACCTATAGGGTGATGGCGGGTTGCACCCCCAGCTGACAACGTACAGCCTGTGGTTGATATCGTTAGTTTCATGACTGGCAGCACAGCTCCAGGTTGCTTTGCCAGGGCCACTAGTCTGTCGACTGGAGCCCTTGTGTTCTTGATGCCCCAGAGCCCCCTGGACTCCGCGTGACCGAGGTACTTGACTGTGAAGGTCTGAGGTAGTTCCTCAGGTACCAGTAGACTCACGTCTTGGGGCTGCGACTCTCCAGCCATGATACCTCTACAAAACAGATCAACTAAAGGCTATGGACAACAGGTTCTTGGGAGACATTGCACAGTGAACAGAAATGGAGTTTAGTTACTGACAACCAAAGCGTATTACTCCGTCCCTTACAATTCTACTGATATAAAAGTGAGTTAAATTTTACTGCAAAATGAAGAGTAAATAAGTAAAGAATTGTTTTGAAATATGTGCCTCATTCGTTAAGCCTACAAGAAAACTGGCCCAATAAATAAAATGTTTTGCAATCCAATTCTGTTTTTGTGGGTGTTAAAAATATTTGTTGACAACATTATTAAATACTATGGTTTGCACTATGGAATATTTTTACTTTTTAAAGATAATTACGTTATGGCAATTTACATAAATTGTTACTACGAAGATTTCAAATATGAACTACAATTTTTCAAAAGGAATTGTATACAATATTGGAAATATTTCTGAGGCTAATACGATATACGTAAAATACTCATTTCAGTACTCACATTTAGAAACATTCTCGTAAAAAATTAATTTCCAAAGATCAATAAAAAAATAAAATATGAAATAAAAGTACTAGAATCGTATGGATATCTTTTCTAGTCTTGCTTTTTGATCTACGAATACGACTTTGAAACCCATGTGGATGGGCGAATGCAATTTTAAAAGGCTGCCAACATCTAAAACGAAAAATATTATGATTCCTATACTGTTAATATACTCGTACAAAATAACACTGTTAGGCTGTGCAAAATTAAATATACAGCCTACAGCAATATTCTAAGAAGGATGCATTTATGAGATTCTAGCAGTAATTGAAAAAAGTTTTCTTGGACACGTACAAGGATACTTGAGAGTTCTCTATTCTACTACTGCAACGGTGTTGTGTTTCCTACAAACTAATTTTAAACATTTTGTCATGTCAAGCTGACTACGAGTATTGTATTGAAAAACAAAACAGTAAAGGTCAGTTTATGAGCATAGGGCCTATTTAACACAACATATTGTATGATACTTCATCTACGGTAGTGAACATACTTAGTTAGTACTAAGGATTCCAGAGGAAACTTTTCAAAAGAGTACTTTTACTTTGGTAATATATACAAATATTTATATTCTAGACCAAGATTTATAACATGTTAACATTAATTTGATATATTCATCTCACAAACTAAAACGCAAAAAACTAACTAAACCAACTAAAATACGTTTAAAATGAGACATTATGTGCACATAACATCAGGTAGACATGTGAGTCATTGAAACCTAGAGCAAAAAATATATTATCTTTTATTATGTTATTGGCTGATATATCGTCGGCACATTGTTGTTATATTTTCTTAAAAAATAATAAATAATATCCCAGTTGTAGTGTAACATTTGTGAATATCAAATAATGTCCAAGATGTTGTGTGTGAAGGCTTTTATATTATACGATGCTTACTTGTTATTTGTGAAAAATACTGGAAAATAATATCAAGCTATTAAAAAAAGTTCTAGTACAAATGAATCATGGACTACTTAAGAATTCATAACATGAGTCATTGAAATGCCCATACATACCTAAACGCGAATCAATCACAACTTCAATATTTTAAAGGGTGACGCCATTGATATGTCATGGTTCATTGATATCTCAATTACATATCACTTAAGTTTAGCGAGAAGATAAAAAATTAGGACGACATCTAAAAGTTAAAGTCAAATAGTCTAAATTCACTCGTATTACCGAGGTCGCTTTGGTACTATTGGACCATAAATGCTCTTGGTATTTTGAATGGACATCAACTAATTTATACACTACTTTCACTTAAACTTAGTTTTGGATAGTTTCATACTTCACTCTCAACATAAAATATCTTTTGTTGAACTTCAACTCACAACGATGTATTTTAGCAATACAAATGGGGCGTTATGGAAAATACATATCCCTTAAGAATGCTTTTTTAAGACTCTTTGGCAAAAGTTTCAATACTTATAAAAATAGTTTGGTCTCTTATATGTAGAATACACTAGTGTAAGATTTCTTTATTGCGGAAACTCTGCTGAGAACTCGTTAAATCTAGTTTTAGGCTCACTATCGTCGGTAAAGAGGAGTATGATAATTATTTTAAAGTATGAAGATGATTATTAAACGTCAATTTAGTAGAAACACATATAACACATATAAATGCGGAGAAATCCTAAAACTGTAATATTTTAAACTGATTTCTCAAAATTTAGTCTAATTGCATATAATTTTACCTCAATTGTTGAAACAGAAATGATCGATTGGTTGTACAATAAATCATTTATTTTTCTATCCAGTTGTTGTTCAACTTAAGAATAATGTGATCAATTACAGTAAACAACAATACTATGTACCGTGTACATTCCAGCTACGGATAACTATGAGAACGACAGAAGTGCTGAGGAAGGCACGAGTACTACTGGGAAAGGCGGCGTTATCGTAGTAACACTGAGATTCTCGCATGCTATTGTGTAATGGAATAGTCAGACATTAGACTAACACGTACAACTACTTATATTCTCTATAGTCTAGCTAGAGTATGCATGTTTAATTTATTTTTCAATAAAACAACTGAAAAAATGTAATTTATTTTTTCATCTCACTACAGCAAAAATGGTTGTTTTCAATACATGCGTTGCGAAATTTATGATTTTTTCTCTCCGTAGGACAAAAAGAAATCAGCTGGAGCTGATGACTTAAAGATATTTTTGTAGATTTAAAATTCATCCGCTGAATTTTCCAAAGACCCATTGTTAAAAACTATCGTGATGTTACCAGTATAATTTTATGCAATATATTACAATAAAAATATACCTACATATATTTTACTACTTTAATGTAAATGAATTGTAAGTTAATGGGAATTTATTATTGATTAAAATATACCATTAAACGACACTGTTTTTTATTTTATGGTTTATTACTAGTATTTAGTTGTGAAAACAAGACTAAGTAACAAAAAGATTTTTCGGGTACACGATTATTTCCCTACAGTATATTTCCAATGTGGGTTTCAATTAAGTCAATTGATTGAAGTTATAATGACAATTAATTTATTGATTTCCTTCTTCGTCGATTGATCAAGCTAGTTTGAAGCTTAGACTAAGGAATAATTATTGAAAAATCAAAGAAAATTGAGTGAGAGTTAATGTCTATGTCTTCATGTGGTAAAATAAATAAAATAGACATTCTGCAATACTGTGCTATAAAACAACTTACACCACTCTGCTAAACCCCATCCTTAGTGAAGAGTGTACTAAAGGATAAGAATGAGCATAATACTATTGTTGTGGTTAATTTGTAAATCTTGCTCATATACTACTTAAATTTTAGGGTACCGTATACATTTAGTTTCTTAGATTTATATTATTCTATAATGAATGATCAACCATAAGTAGGTGCTTAATTGTTTCATATGGAATTGAAAATAATGTTGAAAATTGGTCATCGTCTTTATATCGTTGGAATAACATTTTTCAGTCATCAGAAGAAGTCTGCTTTTACTTGAATATTATTTGTATGGTAACATTTATAGCATTTTGCCTACTACTTATATCTGTTTGAAAGATTGATTTATATACTATTGCATTGGTAAGTTACATTAGTGTATAAGTTATATTGAATCATGAAACGCTAAATAAAACAAATTATTTTCATCAATTGTAATTAAGGTAAGAATTATTTTTGTGATAGATTATGAATATAAATTTTAGGAATATAGCATGTTAATGTTTTATAGCAGCTAAAACGATGCTTAATTCCATCCTGCTAAGGTCATGTTGTTATAAATAAAAGGACTCTGAAAATTCCATGGGTTAGTGAGTACACGGACATAACGTATTTACACTGTAAGGCGGCTTAATTAGTATGGTATTGTTCGCTGATGTTTAAGTAAGTTGCAACTATTTTTAGACTGTATTTGGAAATGCATCTGTGCGTATGTATATTGATGAAATACAATTTTGTTGTTGGGATCAATAGTTGAATATTTTAACTTACTTATCTTTATTCAAAAAGATCTTAAATCAATTACGAAATGTGTGCTGACATAACTAAATAAGGACTAAGTATATTCAAGTAGTTAAGTATACAGTACAGCATATTATCTCTGTTAGCACCACACAGAGAGTTAAGGGGACTTACCTCTCACTGATCACTGTTTCCACCGGACGAATATTTATTTCAACGACAAAGTTGTTTTTGGAAGCTCAAATTTAAATGTTTTACACGTTAAACACGTTTCGCAGAAGATAGTGAAAGTAAAAACAGATTTTTCCGTAATGATAGTTGAAAACTATGAAACATAATATACAATGTTTGAGTTTGATGTTTTGAGCTATGTTTGAAGTTCTAAGTAGGCCGACTGCATTTCATATATACTATTAATCTATGGTAGTACCGTACTGTACTTATATTCGCACGTCATAAAAGTGAACGTGGCAATACCAATGACCATGTTACCAAGCAAACTATGGGGTTTGTCATAAGGTCTTTGTCGTAAATTACTCTATACTTGCCAGTTGCATGAAATATTCACCTAACAGTGATACAGCTTTAAGCAAATAAAAATGTCTCACCCAGCACAATCCCAGCAAAAGAAGCACTCAGAACGTAATCATTATAACTCGTCCACTAAACTAAACACCACCCCGGGTTCACGGTCCAAGTCTGCGTGTACACTGAGAATGACGTATGTTGTATCCCTCTTGCGGATTGCACCTCTAGCTCCCCTACCCCCGCCAGACCATATGGTGAGCACCTGTATCTGACACTACCGTTTCCGCTTCAAACCGGAAGCTCTTCCGCTTTTCTGTTTCATTTCTATGGGACGGAACTACACACGAGTTGTTGGTGTTAAACGGCTATCGTGGTCAGATCGTGAAGGCCGTTGTACCATTCGCGCAGACCCCTATCGCAGCATCCACCGTACTCGGGACTCACATATACAATTTTTAGCGGCGGGCTAGGCGCACACTGATCCAGCATTTCAGCTGAAGCAAAATGTTGCACAACGATTTGCTTGAAGCATTTTGTTTCTTTGCTTCTCCAGTGTGCGGGAGGTTCAAGCAAGATTCAGCATTTGAATTCAAACAAAAGAAAGTCAAATTATCTGTACTGGTCCTCTACAGTATTGTTTTAACATTTGTGACGAGGAAGTCAACGTAGCTATTAATTGCTGTATGTCAGTTTTTGCAAATGCTGGAATAGGATTAAAGAAAAAATTAGGGTTACCCAATCAATCAGATGAGATACATTTAAAGCTTTCGTCTCAGAAATTAAATCAGATCCAGGAAAATTTTACAATTATTGACGAATAATTGCTACACTATTTTATTGGGAGGGTTTTGAATACCGTTAGTGATATCGTGAGAAATTATTATTAGATAATGGACTGAGTAACAATAGTTATTTCTTAATTATTTACTACTTTGCATGATAATACTTTGTATGACTATCAAAGTGGTAGTAGCGAAATTAAACAACAATATTGTTCAAAGGAAATTCAAATTATAATTGTTAAGCTTTAATGAAACTTCAAAATACATTTTTAAAAGAATAGTTATTTCCAAACAACAAAAGGTTATAAGAATTTTGAAAGCAACTAAGCCTTTAAGTTAGAAGGGATTTTTCGCATGCGCTTTTGCCTCGCAACACTTGCTTCAGGTGAAATGCTGCATCAGTATGCTGCCGGCCCATGCAAGCACAGCACAAAATATGTCGTCTACGCCACCCTAGCCAGGTTAGTAGCTTCCATGGCTAGTAGCCATACCCTCCTCATAACCTTCCTTCCACCTCAACATGAAGGTCATTGATCTCCTTGTATACAGAATTCATCAAACCGCCCAAGCCTTCTACACAAACCAACCAAACTCACAACGATCCGATCTGTCTACTGCCTGAGTGGCAGAGAGATTAAAGTGCTGACCAAATCTTGAAGTCGCTGGTCCGATTCCAGGCGTGATTGATTCTGGACCCAGATGGCATGTATCATTCATTGGCTCATCGATTATTGATTCTATTGGACTAAAAGGTCTACTGTATTCTGTGCTAGCTGGTCATCATCCAATGTTGTGTCGTGATCCAGACACGTCACGAGCGAAAGTAATAATATCAAGAATTATATGCGTAATAAACAATACAAATGTAAAATTCAGCATTACCAGTTGACGCCTCACGTTATCTGGGAATTCGTGTAATCGAGGCCCAAACGCTCGGAAGTTTAAAAGTGGATTTTAAGTTTATATATCGGCTTAAGCATTCCACATTTTTTTAAATAGAAGTGTACTAAAAATGGTAACAGGAGATAAAAAATGTGTACGAATATTATTTATCTTACAAAGGATATAGTAAGTTACTATGCAGTGTGAGAAAAACTTTGCCATTCGATACAAATAAAAATATTAGTACAATATTAATGATAGAATTCAACTTTCTTTTTACTTTTTGTATTCAGAGAATACTAGCAATGGCCACCTAACTAAACTCGCCTAATGCTTATGTTAAAAAAGGTCACAGAAAATAAATTAAAAATTGAGATGTCCGTTGGAATAGGTCAATAAGTTTATTTTTGGTTTTTGATGTCATAACATATGTGTATATACCTTTAGTTTTGGCAATATTTAAGTGTTTATCCTACAAAACCAATGAGGTCACATCTCGCATGAACTGACCGACAGTATATATTTTAAATAAATCAAATAAGTAGGCAACTTACATGTTGTATCTGTTGTAATTGCAGTCGACTGTTGGAAAACTAGCAGAAATGAACAAACGTGCGATCCGGTACCAAGTCAGGTAAGCTCTAAGCTTATCATTATAGTAAAAGACACGTAGCTGCGATTTCAGAATAGGTACTTGAGAACGTTTATCAGGACGGCGAAATTGCCTGATAACAGATGTTGTGACACATTTCGTTCTTATCACTGGAGTTCCCATTGTCCTAAACCATTTGATATCGTTAACCTAAATTGAATCAATGTTAAAATTACCCACGCCACATTAAACCTGCAGACTAAGCATATTTCTATTTGTTTGATTGGATTTTTACTGAACTATCTCCATAAACAAGGTATATTTAACCCCCTTTAAATAACATTTGATTTAATGAGTTTGACAGCGTTTGCTAATGCAGGGTGGGTAAAAAATGTTTTGTTGTTTATTTTTACCAAAAGTTAATATTATAGGATTAAATAAATAAATTTGCCAAATTTAAACAACACATAATAATAAACAAGTAAACTACAACAGTTTATTCCCCGTAAGAATAACATGTGAATCAAAATGTACAGTTTTAGCAAATTTCCCTTATAGGGAATAAGCTATTTCGGATTCTCTCCCTTACCTTTAATCGTATAACAACACTTCAATACAAAATAATTGGCCTCAAAATGATAAAAAAGTATATCGGCCCCAGGTTCATGTCTTACCGTGCCACTTACGGTAATAGCTACTTCCCCGTAGATTTCACTAATAGGCTATTCTAAGTTCAATTTGATCCTGTTTGGTTGAAATAATAGAAATGAACAAAGATTTAAACTAATTTTTCTCTTGTTTTGAGCTACTTATAGCAAATAACAGTAATGGAAACTACTACAGTATTGGTAAAGTACTATGTTAAGTGTGTAGTAATATGTAGGTATTAGACTTGTTAGTAGTACCTTACCTCCTTGCATATTGAGGTTAACAAATGTAACTTATTTAAACAGTTTTTTGACGCCAATGTGATTTTCATTCGCTTAAGCTTAGGTACACAGATAATCTTATCTTCCAAAACAAATATAACGTTCAGCTCCACAATACATGGTTTAACGTTTCCATCCGTACAATGTCGTCATTGTTTCGTTGCTAACACCTCAAGTTTAAGATTATTACATATGAAACAAATGCTTGCATAAATAAAGCCATAAGAAAATATAAATCGATCTCATGTTTATCATATGTAGATACCTAAATTCGTAGATTAATTCTACTTTGTTGTATTCTACTATGGTATCGATCAATAAGAAAATAATAAAACTGGTTGGTGGCTTTAGTTACGCAAACTACTTTACAGTACTTGAGATTTTTTTATTAATTCTTTCCATCAAACAATGTCAAAATGTTAAAATTAAAGATTATAAGAAAAATAGATTACTGTTTTTTTGAACAAGTCTAACGTAAATGTTATTTTTATCCCCTGAGGAAATTGACGGAGCAGTTTTTGTAGCCTTAAGCGAGTAAGCATAAATACTAACAAACCTTACTCATAGTCATGTACAGCATAGCATTATGAACATTTCCCATCACTGATTGAACACTTCCAAGTTTAGGGTTATTATGAACATTTCCATATTACTGCGCACTTCCGTGTCTCGCAGGATTATTTGTAGCATACATTTGTCATTACTGATTGGTGGTTAGACACTTTCGAGTAATTTAAATTACACGTCATCACTGGTTCTACACTTCCAAGTCAGAGATTGTTTTTAAAATTTTTAATCGGTGATTGGACTTCCAACTGTTTTAATGGATGTGTTAACATTTCCATTACTGATTAGACACTGCAAGACACAAAGTATTATGAAGGGTATTTTTTTAATTATAGCATTACATTTCCTCGCAGAAAATGTATACTTAAAACATGAGTAGATCGCATACATACTGCCCAACATAGCATGTGGTATACACGGCGGTTGTTTCTGATCATTCCTATTGCCCACATGCGATTGTTCCCAGACAAGCTCACGAATATAAAGTAAATTAATCAAAACAATGTTCCCATTGGAATGAGAACTAGTTGTCGCAAGCCCTGGGAGCGAGAACTGCCCGTATATAGTCTCGGATCTGCAGAACCCCTTCAGTCAGTGTTTCTGTGCCACGGATTAATCTGAATTTTGAGGTAAACTGTATTCTTTTCATTTTTAGCTTTAATATGGAATAAATATTAATAAATTAAATTTCGTGTGAACTTAAAACGTTTTGGACGTTTTGATAGTATGCTTTGTACAACAAATATCTATATAATTCTTATAAGCAACTTAAACGATTAACATAACGAATGAATTTGTTAACGATCTAATATAAGTTTTCTTTTGTAGTAACCGGCATTTAAAAGTAAGCGTTTACCTTGGTAGCCCTATTTTGTGATAGTATGGTAAATAATACATGATTAATGATATATTAATATTACTATCTGTACTATCCCACTCATTATTTATTGGTGTCATCTATTAATGGTAATCTTAATAGACTTTATTGTTACTCATAATTGATATCCTGTTTTCCTTAAATGTTATAACGTATTAACATTTTAGATTTTACCTTTAGTGATAAAGTTAATGATAATAATGACTCATTACCATACATTAGTGTAACATTGACCAGTGGCTGATACATAATGTAATTACTACAACATCTGGTTCAGAAAAAGAATAAAAAAGTTATTAATTTATAGCAACATAAATAAATTACACAAATACTTTTACATTCTGTTAAATAATAATCAATGATCTTAAGGAAAATATTCATATTTCTATAACAAATCGAGATTTATCAATTATTTATTTATTTATTATCCATTGACGTATATTTGTATCGTGAAAAGTAATATTTTAAACTGTGAACTGTGATCTACAATATTATGAAATGTGACGTGGAGCTATTTTGGGGTTTTTAGGACGTGTATAAGTTAAAGATTGTGCAGAAAAAAATCTTAGAAACCAAACGGTTGTTTTTTAATATACAGTTAATGCAAATGTATTAATTAACTGATCTTCTGGCTGATAGCTTGATGGTTTTCAGAACTACAAGAAGATGCCTCCGCCACATTTTTTTTTTAATTTGACTGACTGTAGGGGGAATTTAGGGATATTCCCTTAGTATATTATACCACAGGCAAAGAAATCAGTATACTCATTCCTTGTAAATTAATTAATTAATTAATTAATCCCTGTCTCTGAGCACGGACGGTATGGTTATCTTGAGTGTGGGGGGTTCTTCCCGGAACTTCAATTGAGTCAAGGGTGTCGCCACCTCTGGTGGATAGGTTCATCCGGGTGGGTCCCACTTCTATACCTGCCTCCTTTTGGGAAACCCTGATGGCCTGGCAGTGATGTTGGGTCTGACGGGCAAACGAAGTAGATCGGGTGCTGGGTCCGAGCCCGCCAGGGGTATCTGGGGATCTATCGCTCTGGTTATCTCTGGTTTCCCAGCAATGGGTAAGGCCTCGATCGGGCAGTAGTGTAAATGGGAGGCTGGGGTTCCCCCCGTCAGCGTGCTGACGGTCCCCTTCCTCCTGGCTATTGATGGCGGGTTCTGCCTGTCAGGGATTAGATAGGTCCCGAGTGTTGCTTGCACTAAATGCGTCGGGGTGCTCTACCATGGACCTCTAGGTCCTGACCTAGTGGAACCCAGGTGGAGTGACGCTTAAACAAGCAGCCGGAATCCCTGGTTAGGATTGAGGGGCAACCCTCCTTCCGAAGGGTCTGCTTCGGCAGCCGGCGAGCCTGATGACCTTAAGTCATCCGCCCATGATGTGCTAAAGGTTGATGCGTAAGCTTCGGCCTACATCATGGGGCCCGGGTATGTCCTAACGGATAGGTACCGGGTATGCAGTCAGGGGGCTTCGGCTCTCATGACAAATAAATAAATAAATAAATAAATAAATAAATAAATAAATAAATAAATAAATAATACTCATTCCTTGTCTGTGATTGAACATCATCTCTAAGGCTCTGTATTAAGGCAAATAAAAAAGGGACTCTAAACTCTCAAATAGACGCACCACACATTGGAGTTAACAAATAATGGTCTTCCCATTACTCGATTGCCAGTTATATGCACTATGCAGTATATGAAACAACATAACTCAACACTCTTAATAATTATTGCTTGTTTCTATGTTATAATACAATATGTATTTTCGTAAACTATTTCTATCGACTAAAACAGGTAATTAATAGTTTGCTATGTGATATAACCAGGATATAGTAAAAACCTCTAAGGACTTATATAACTTATAGGAACCTACTATAAATAAACTCAATAATGATAAACCCCCTTTTTTATCAGAGAACACACAATACTATTCCCTACAATTAAATTATATAAAAGGTTAAAATCTGGAACTGCTTCGTGATTCTGCTGCTCCAAAGAATGGACTACGCGTTTGGATGTAGATACATTGAGCTTGACTGGTTCGCTTCTCGGACATCATTCCAGGGGGGGGGGGTCGATCCCTGCACATCTATAACATATAGGTTTGGATAATATGTTAGGATAGTAAAACAATTAAGTACTTCCTACTGCGTAGACATCAATGAACACCACATAACATTAAATTACACACACCAGAAAATTTGTGGCCTACACAAAAAAGTCTTCACCCCCAACACAAACAACACAATATGAAATTAAATTATATGTTGCTAAGATGATAATAACTCTATACTTCAAAGGATAAATGTACACTTATAATTACATAACAATAACTTAAAATAAGGAAAGTAATGTGTACGCATGTAAGTCCATCAATGACTTTATTGAGTAAATTGCTAAAGTCAAATATACACTACAAAGGGAACGAGGATATCTGTATTGGAAATTCCCGTACGGAAATCCATGTCAACATTTTATTCTATATCTGCCCCTTTTTGTGTCAATCAAAGATTGAGAGAGACCTCTCTCACTATTCCGTATTATATCTACTGTCCGGTCTATAGGCCTACTGATAATTTAGCGTTGATAAATATTTTATTTTCACTGAAAGGTTATAACAATATAGTTTTGTTTTACTGATTTGGATAAACGATTATTTGTTAATTTATTATTGCTGCATAGGAATTTCACCAAACACCTTAGCTCAGTGGTATCGTCATGATAAGCCAGACGTTGCCTGTTCGAGACCAGCCACTTGCTCTTATCTTATTACTGTCGTCATAATTGCTTTCTTCATGATATCTATCCCGTACGAATTATTGATCAGTAGGTAGGCTATATGACACGGAGTAAAGTCAATCAGATGTCTATAGTCACGGGCAGTAGAGGGGTTAAGAGATCACGTACGTTTTGATAGTTTTATTTGAAAAAGGTTTCGACTTAATAATTTTAAAATTATTCGAACAAATTATTATGGACGACTAGTACAAATTTCAGCAATCAAATAATATGTTGATATTTAATTCAAAATATTAGGAGTGGTGGGGTTTAAATTGAGAAATACAAAAATACCCATTACCTACCATACAATATAAAACAATACAATACAACAACATTATTTTTTAGTCAATACCTAACTTGCTCGTGGCCTAAGAGTCGAAACATGTTAGTTCGTTTAAATAAATTAAAGGGAACATAACATAACATGTTTAGTCATTTCAAATATTTAAAGAATAATTCAGACACTTACATTTTCAAAAAATAGTATGATAGGATTCAAATAATATCCTAACCCTTTATGTTCTTGGGATACATATTATTAGATTAAATACCCGCCCATGTGGCCATAGGATTAAATCATATGCGTTAGTCCATAGTAATAGTTTAATTAATTATTAATTGTACTTTAATAAATCGAAATTTTACAAATAAGTTGGAATGACAATTTAATAAAGGAAAATAGTAATATAGTACAGCCACCAAATCAGATGAAGAATAATTGTCTTTAAATACAGTAACATTTCCTAAAGCCACAGCCTTTTGAGTTTTATGTAGCCGTCAAAATTTGTACTAAATGAACTTGTTATATTTTTGTATGGTTCTTGGTATTTACAATATGTATAAATGTCTTAGCTGGTATTGCTTTGGTGTTGATGGTACTAATGTTTTGGTACATTTGCAGATGGTGCATCTAACTGTTAGTTTAATGGGAGCGGCCTGCTTGGCTTGCCTCGTGTATTCGGTGAGTCATAACATTGCAATAGTAATATTTAAAAAATCCAATTAGCTATTCTTTTGTCTATAAATATTTTTCTAAAATCAGTTAAGTGTTTGAGCATTTATAGTTTATAGTTTATAGCCTTTTGATTGAAATCAAATTAATATTTTTGATTGCTATTTTCTTATACAGCATTACGAACTGATATTAAATAAATAACAAGTTCTATAATGTTTCTTTGAATACTTAATGAGTTTTAGTTAATTTTCTTAACATATTTTTTTAAATTCGAACTCATAAGCTCTCAGTTTGTTTTAAAGTAGGTTTTGCACAGTATTTGTTTATTATTCCTTTTTTCTGATTTATATTAAAACATATAGACAATAAAAAATATATTACATTTCCTAATTTCTATTTGGTATTCAAAATCCAGATAGAGTAAACATTTATCGGGACCTAACTTGATAGTTCATTGTCATACTAATGCTTATTGGAAGCTAGTGTTAAGCCTTTGTACGTGTGTCTAATTCAGATGAATCTGCTGTACGAACTACTCAAGAACACAGCTTACACAGTATAGAACATAGAGGACAGCCCGACTTGTATTAAAACATAATAGTAGTTAAATTACGGGTATTTAAAACTAAATGTATTTTTAATACTAGACGATAAAAATGAAGACTGTCTAGGAACGACATTTTTGAAGAAATAGTTGACTGTCAAAAAGAAAGCAGAGACTTGTAAAAAGCTATGAGTAAGCATACATTTTTTATTAGGAGTTGTTTCTCGGATATCAGTAAAAAAATATTTATTTTTTAACTACTATGTAGTAGTAAGCCTATCAAATTATAAAACAGGAACTTTCCAAGTCAAAATATTCACAACCCATTACTCGATATAAAAAACGAGGAAAGGTAGTGTTTCCCAGACGTAGTAATAAAGATTGTACCTAACATATTGTTTATTATCTTTTTGATAAGCACGACCAGTGCGTGAGCCCATGCATATGTTTTTTGTTATGTAGGGGAACTTTTTGTGCTGAGTTTCTTATAATATTTGCTATCTTTCCTTTTTTAAAGTTTGTATATTCGTTTACGATTTAGTAGGATAAGCATTTTGATGTATCGTTGAAAATGTTGTACATTGAACGAACGTGTATTTTAATGTTTGTTGGGAAAATGTATTTGATTTGCGTGAATATTCATTATAATTATTTTTTAGGCAAGACAGTTTAATGCGTCAACTTTAGGATATTAGATACTTGAGTATGAATAAATCAAATTTAAAAATATAATGCGTAATTATAATTGACTTATGTCTTATGCTAGTCAATTACACATTTAAATGTATGCAAGACGGAATCGTGAATAGTATTTTTAGTAATATCCCATAGTATTTAAATACGCAACCTATACTTGACTCCCAGATAACTTAACGCTCAAGCCTGGGAGAATATTTGTGGGTTGAAGGTGTTGTGCCAAAATGTACTGAAAACAGATTATTTTGTTATTTTTAAAATCGTATATTGATAAAATAAAATTGTGCAAATACAAATCAACAAATTGTAAATATGAGTTAATGTAGTATCACAGACAATATAATACTTTAATACTAGAAGTTGTGTAATAATAGAAGTATGGGTTTCCGTAGTCTGTGGTAGTATAGTGCAAAAAAATTTTTTTGCTAAAGATTGTTGACACTGAAAATATTTTAGCGAATATTTGTAACATGAACCACTTGGAGAGAAGATACTGAATTGACCAGCGAGATAAAATTTCTCAACAAGTGAATTCGCCTTCAAGTCAGAATATACAATGCGCCACAGAACAGTGTTTATGTTGCATCGAGTTTGTTTAGGCGCTGAGAATATCAAAGCATGTTGTTTGTAATAGTATCACAGACAACGTGTCAAGGGAATAGGTATGGGAATGGGTATTCCCTTGCTTTTGATAATTAATATACGCGGTACTCTTTTTGTGATGTTTCGTGGATGAATATTGTTACAGAAAAATTTGAGCAAAAAATGATTTTCCTTTGTATCATACCAAGACAAAGTCGATCTTACACGATCCTTTTAAATGTCAACGTCGGAAAGAACGATCAACAGCCTTGCAGTATATTGCTACAATCCTGTCTAATCTGACTAATATAATGTTACCACCGCCTATCAGTTATGAAGTTTGTCTGTTTGAGCTAAATGTAGATTATAGTGACTATTTTGCACAATATGGCCTACATTTGTATCGAGTTACTATTTATACACATAATAAAAGTATTCCCATTAATATTTACAAACGTATAGTTGTATATACCAATATTGTTCACTCGACATTTAGCTTGGGATTGTCATTTGAGTTACTCGTCTGTGTAAAATTGAGGTGTCAATGTTTATCCCGGGACCTATTATACAAATCTGTAGCGTCCAACCGTTATATTATAACATAGACTTGACAAATAACTACTGATTTTGACCAAATATTTAACTTTAATAACAATGTTTGTGTATGTCAGTAATTATTCGGTATGTAATATGTTTTTTATCATAGATAATTGTTGCTATCTATGTATAACAACAAATATCTAAGTAGTACTACACAGAACTATCTTTATATTAACAGATGATATTCTGCTACTGATGGTTATCGGTTGATTCGGATAAACGATAAAAGGAACATGTAATTAAATAAATTAAATACTGATTTTTTTACTTTGGTTGTCATACAAAAGTCATGTTTACCTTGATTTAGTTTTCAAAATAATATATTTCTCAAGATTTTACTTTGCTCACACAAAATGACGACTGAACCGAATAAAATGTATGCCGACCAGTAGAGGACCAATTATTTATACCTGCAACAACTCAATACTTCGACCAACTAATGCTTTGTTAACTGGTTGGCTTAGTATTTAGAAAACTTTGGTTTAAACATTAAACTGTTTTTGATTATTGTTTGAACACCATTATAATAAATTGATGTATTTTATTACATTTCGTTCCTATTTAGGTAAGACATTTTACTTGTCAAATAACAACAACAGACAAAATATAATTCGTCTTCAAAATTTAATTTTTAACTCGATAAAATCATCAGACTCAGCAAGCCTAGTGCGTTTACATTTTCTCTCGTTTAAAATATATCACTTTGTTAACTATTTATTGTGTAATACAACTTACATTATATATGTAGATTTAATTCAAAACAAATATTAATTGTAAACCTGCTCTGATCAGGGTTAGCCTTAGCCCCTATGCAACAATCGTTGATAAAAACCTTGGATCTGGTGTGTTAGGTTGGTAAATCATTAGTAAATAACAAATTGGAAACATAGTAATCTAGACGCTTAGGTATGGAGTCAGTTCCCATGTCCCAAGGTTGTGAGAACGGGTGGTGTTTGGGACACGGTACCGTGGGATAGGACCATGGGTTGTGGTCCTGAGGTCCTATCTGGAAACAGAATATACCAGCATCTCCAGCGGTGGATCAGGATAATTTATAGACAAACATAATAAACATTAATATGTTAAGTACTTGTTTAGTAAATCCAAAACTATTTAAATTAAGGGATTTTCGTCGAAATTGTAGAGTTCCAACCGTCAGATTTTCTGTAAGCTAGGTTGTTCTTCAAAGTTCACATGAAAAAGCTTAAAGGACTTCAAAGGGCACGCATAGTGTTAAAACGACAAAATATATTCAGCAGACATGAAGCTGTGGTGCCATCCTCTCTCTCTTTCGTTATGGTAATTTTATCCGTATATAATTTCAAACTGATTCTTGTTTTAAAACTTCTTAAGTAAATACAATTAAAGGAATGAAAGACACAAGAAAGTGGTAAATAGAGTAATAATAATAATAATCTCAATTTTTCAATTTTCAATTTTGTTTATTATCTTGCAATCGAAAATTTGCTGTAGGCTGCAGCGCCTTGTATACAACTCTAGCTGCAAGCTATTTCAGAGGAAATAGCTCATATCCATTACCTTCTTATAATATCTTTTACATGTACATAGTATACATACATTTGATTTGTTTTCTAATTAAATAATATATAATAAACAACTATGATTTGAACAAAAACATTTTTTGCTTTTTTATCTTTTTGTGTTTTTTTAAATTATGTTTCATTATGAGGTAATATGTTTTTATATATGTGTGTGTATCATGAGAGTATTATGGAAATAGTTAGTTATGGGCCGGACTGGTAGCTCCGTGTTAAAACCTGGGGCCGTCAATGCCGCTGTCACCCAGTTTCACCATTCCATATTATGTGAGTTTATTACATCGGGTTGGAATTCGTGCAAAATATATGATTAAGAATACACATAAAACAACGAGTAATTAGCATTTTACACTACCAAAAGGCTTTTTATAACAAGTTTGTGCATACAAATCTTAAACAACAGTTAGGTATGAAAATATATCTTTTATGAATGAAAACTAACAATATTTCTCCTAGCCTGTCTTCCCATTTTGGGGAAAAAGCAAAATCAATAGATCCAGTCCAGTCCAGCTCAAAATATATGGAAGTAAAAAGTGCGGTTATATAGTTCAAATCTTCACTCCTTAACTCATGCTTGATTAAAGACTACATTAGACATGAAAATGTTGATAAAATTGAAACAAATAAATACCAAGTCCTATAAAATTACCCTATAGTCTCCCTCAGTTTATGTTCTCGTTTTCCCTTATTCGATACTAACATTTTGCTTGTTCACTGTGACTAACTAATGTTATTATACTAACTAAGTAATAATAATGATAAGCCTAACAAACCTTAAAAGGCTTTAAAAATACGGTACGGTGTACAAAGGATGTTTTAGCTGTATTTTTTTGTTTTCATAAATATTCTTTATTGCTTAAGACAATACAATGATTGCATAGCATGTGTCAACACATAAAAAATAAAATAAACGGACACAATAGAATAATATAAAGCATGACATTATATTAGTTTCGCTACTTTCATCTCTGATACCTTTCGGGATCCTATTCAGGAGAACAACACCAGCCTGGGACGGCATTAGTGCCATACAGGCTAACCTGTACTGCACTGGCCTATACACGTGCCTAGATCTAGTGTTGTAATTGCGTACATCTCTGCCCTGTATTAGACATCCTTTAGACTTGCAAAAAATGCTGTCTCTTGGATGTACAGCCCAGCAAGCGTACGTAAACAATAATCCCGAAGGCATCCTGGCACTACTCTTTACGTCCAAGTTTCGCTATGATACGGATTATTTTTTTCTGAAAAATTAAAAAGCGGTTGATATTTCTCCGGGGGAAATTTACCCACAGATCATACACATAAATTAATTTGATTCACAACCGGTGATTCGAGGTGATGACCATCAATCGCTAATAACTATTCACTATTAAATAATCACTATTATTTGATGCTAATTTTTTATGTTCATATCGCTGCGATTGGTCAAAATCAAGTTGAACTCGGGTGTGTTTTGACTTTTGTGTTTTTCTTCTTCTTTTTTTCTGCGGAGTTTTAAGTTTTATAGTCTGTTTCATTGGTCTGGTAAAAATAGTGAGCTAATCGTTGGACGAAAATCTATTTTTAATAAATAAAAACACCTTTATTGATGTAGCATTTCTCAGTGCATTCAGCATTCCGTTTGGTCTTTAAGTTATTACAAACAAAATAAGTAACGAAGAAATTGAATACACAGTAAAAAGGGTTAAAATAACAATCAATCATTATTTAAATAAGGGAGTCGAGACTCAGCTTTTTAATCATGCTATTGTCGATACTTCTTAAAATCAATTGAGCATGTAGTGGTGCCTGCAGATATTAACTTGTTAACAAATATTGACTTGGGTGTTTATGGAAAACAATCCGTTCATTAGGATAAGCTTGTGGAAATTTGTTCCCAGGCAACCTTCCCTTCCCTTGAACTTATTTTAAGGTATTATTTATATATGTATATTTAGTTATCCAAATATTTGTTATTTATATATGTATATTTAAATTAACTATTTCTTGAATTAATTAAAAGACCTAAGTGTTCGCATGTAATTGTCTTTCGAAATGTATCTTGATCCATGTACCCATTGCGGCAAAAATGAATACATAATTTTGACAATTATTATGATTTAAAATAACGTTATGTTCAAATATGGTGATATTGTTGAATTTTTATAAAATGTTTGTTATGCAGCAAACGAACCCTGAGTACCCAGCCTACAATGAAGTTCCTCGAGGGCTGAGCTTCACCTGCAACCAGAAACCTCCAGGATACTATGCGGACCCAGAAGCTCAGTGTCAGGTAAATAACATGTCAAAGTAAATTTACAAACAGAAACCTCCAGGATACTATGCGGACCCAGAAGCTCAGTGTCAGGTAAATAACATGTCCAAGTAAATTTACAAACAGAATCCTCCAGGATACTATGCGGACCCAGAAGCTCAGTGTCAGGTAAATAACATGTCCAAGTAAATTTACAAACAGAAACCTCCAGGATACTATGCGGACCCAGAAGCTCAGTGTCAGGTAAATAACATGGCCAAGTAAAATTTACAAACAGAAACCTCCAGGATACTATGCGGACCCAGAAGCTCAGTGTCAGGTAAATAACATGTCCAAGTAAATTTACAAACAGAAACCTCCAGGATACTATGCGGACCCAGAAGCTCAGTGTCAGGTAAATAACATGGCCAAGTAAATTTACAAACAGAAACCTCCAGGATACTATGCGGACCCAGAAGCTCAGTGTCAGGTAAATAACATGGCCAAGTAAATTTACAAACAGAAACCTCCAGGATACCATGCGGACCCAGAAGCTCAGTGTCAGGTAAATAACATGTCCAAGTAAATTTACAAACAGAAACCTCCAGGATACCATGCGGACCCAGAAGCTCAGTGTCAGGTAAATAACATGGCCAAGTAAATTTACAAACAGAAACCTCCAGGATACTATGCGGACCCAGAAGCTCAGTGTCAGGTAAATAACATGTCCAAGTAAATTTACAAACAGAAACCTCTAGGATACCGTGCGGACCCAGAAGCTCAGTGTCAGGTAAATAACATGGCCAAGTAAAATTTACAAACAGAAACCTCCAGGATACTATGCGGACCCAGAAGCTCAGTGTCAGATAAATAACATGTCCAAGTAAATTTACAAACAGAAACCTCTAGGATACCGTGCGGACCCAGAAGCTCAGTGTCAGGTAAATAACATGTCCAAGTAAATTTACAAACAGAAACCTCCAGGATACTATGCGGACCCAGAAGCTCAGTGTCAGGTAAATAACATGTCCAAGTAAATTTACAAACAGAAACCTCCAGGATACTATGCGGACCCAGATGCTCAGTGTCAGGTAAATAACATGGCCAAGTAAATTTACAAACAGAAACCTCCAGGATACTATGCGGACCCAGAAGCTCAGTGTCAGGTAAATAACATGGCCAAGTAAATTTACAAACAGAAACCTCCAGGATACTATGCGGACCCAGAAGCTCAGTGTCAGGTAAATAACATGTCCAAGTAAATTTACAAACAGAAACCTCTAGGATACTATGCGGACCCAGAAGCTCAGTGTCAGGTAAATAACATGTCCAAGTAAATTTACAAACAGAAACCTCCAGGATACCATGCGGACCCAGAAGCTCAGTGTCAGGTAAATAACATGTCCAAGTAAATTTACAAACAGAAACCTCCAGGATACTATGCGGACCCAGAAGCTCAGTGTCAGGTAAATAACATGGCCAAGTAAATTTACAAACAGAAACCTCCAGCATACTATGCGGACCCAGAAGCTCAGTGTCAGGTAAATAACATGTCCAAGTAAATTTACAACCACAAAGCAACATGATATGTAAAGAGTATGCATTGAGATCCGTACTGGATCATGATAAGCCATGCAAAACATGTCAAGGTCACTCGTTAAACATGCCACGCTATGAAAATCAAACACTCGAAACGATCAGCATCATTAATACATGTAGTAGGCCTACACGGGTATATAAGTAACAAGTTCTACAAGTAAATTGTTTAAATTACATGAACAATTAATAAACAAATAAATATTCGTAAGAAACGCGATTCAGTGAATACCATGAATATGACACCTCCGAATATTGAGTGAAAGGTCTTGATGAGAAATTCTTAGCAAATTCTTGGAAAAAATAATACCAATAATAATTTTCTATAAACCATCTCCTAAGGACACAAGTCTATTGAGACTTAAATTTTTACCACATTATTAATCAATAAATGTGTGTATTTAATAACATATGAAAAATAATATGGAATATTCGGGTGCTGTCAGGTTTGTTTTTATTTGTAATTGTTTAATTCCCTTTACCTAAGTTAACTTTATATTCTCATCATAGATTCGATATCCGTACATTTTAAGTTATTAGTTTTCATTTTATGCAACTGCAAATGTGTAAACCAAACTGATATTATTTCAAATAATCAGTTTAATTTCAAATTTGCTTCTAGAATCAATGGTGAATGTACAGTATAACTGTTTTAAAGTAGATTTTAAAAATCAAGTTGTTCTCTTCTGTATTCTGTATTCTTCCCATTTAGAAAATCTAAATAATAGCCTACATATTTTAGTTAAATATCCATTCAAAGTGAGACATTACATGCATTAGTTACGTCAAAATAACAATGCCATTAAGCTTACAATAATAAAATTAACTAAAAACACGAACTTTAAAACAGTCATTTTGTTTCCAGGGATGATTTGAATACTAGTCGTCAGTAGAAACTCACGGACGCTGTAATTACATTTATTCAAAATAAATCATTTTAAATTTATTTTGAATTTCAGCTGCTCTGACTCAGCCTTTATATGCGTTGGAAGATTGTTTAAAATACGAGATTAACTTATTGTAACGAAGATTTCTTCGATCAAATGTCGCATGATAGACAGGGGAAGGAAGATTATTAGAAGTTCTTACACTGTAATCATGGTTAGAGACAAAATTGAACTAGTCGATTTTTTTTTTTAAAGGAAAGACAAGGGTTTGTAAATGTAAAGGGATGGCAAGTTCAAATGTTTTACGTTCGAAAAACCAATGAGTCAAATAAAAAAATCTTACATTTTTTGGTATATTAATGGTATAAGAAAAACACAAATAGTTGGTTAAAATACGAGTGTTAATATTAATTAAGCTAACTATCCTTTATAATCAGAATCGATCACCTGATTCATATGCAGTTCATACAATGTTGCATATAAGTTACTACACTACAATTACATGTTGCTCTTTAATATTACACATAATTACAGTGTTAGGTTATCTGAAAGCACAAATATTACGTCAAATAACACTTATAATCATATATTTACACCTATACTGTCTACTCATATGCAATTGCATAGCTGGGTACAATACTGTTCAATTACAATACATATAAAATGGTAAGTGGTGATCACTTTTGATTGGACAACTAACACAAACTAACAAACTAACACACACACAAAACAAACATTTTGTCCATTGTTTACCTTTATAACTTAGCTCTCAAGTGTGGTATCAATCTAATTTGCTTAACACGAGTATCTGTAACCATTACACACCAACTCAATAACACAATATTCAAATTAAAATTACGGAATTATTATTATTACGTTTCGATTTGCATTAATACAAAAAGATGAACATTTATTGTACAGAAACCTGCAAATGGCATGATGATAAAAAAGTGAAACAATGATACAATAGTAAAACCCCCGCCCCAGCAAACCGGCAGGCTAAGCGAATTTCCATTAACCTGATTCAATTTACACTAAAATGCCTCCATAAAAATATAACATTTATTTCCTATTTAAATAGAATTAGTTTAACGAGTACTTAGGTTTGCTGCAACAGGGAGGGTAAAAGTTTTTTTTTTAATGTTAATAGTTTAGTAAGAAATGAAAGTCTTTTCCAAATTCAATCAAAATAAGTTCATAAACAAGCAAACTACAACAGTTGACTTATTCTCTATAAGAAAAACATGGGAATTTTAAATTTAATTTTTTTTTGGAATTTTCTCCGTAACCATTAAGCGCACAACAACGCTTCAATATACTAAATTATTTTTTTTTAAGCTCTACAAATGGTTTGGAAAGAAATTGTAAAATTTTGTGTTTTTAGTGTCAAAAATGGGAGAAACCTATTTTTACCTCATAAAACCCCCTCTGAAACCCCGTTCCCATAGTCCGATCATGCTGGTTCGCCAACTCGTTCAAATAAACGTAGGTTTACACGTTTATACCAAATTTCATCAAAATCGGATCATTGTTGCTCGAGTCATCGCGCTAACGGACACACACACATATGAATTTGAACGGATGGTGTTTTTGGCCTCTAGGGACCTCAAAACGAAAAAGTAAATAGGTCCCGGGTCCAGGTCTTACCATGAGTACTACGGTAATAGCTTATTCCCTATATGGGAAATTCGCTAGTATTATTAATCGGGACTATTTTCTTCGGCAAACTATTTTCCTCCGGCGGACGAATTTAGAAGTCGGAAAAATGTACAGCTGATGCCCTCGACTCCAGCTGTTCGTTTTTGCTCTAGCATATCCTAATATCTCCTTTTTCACCGCAACGCATGTATTGAAGGCAACCATATATTTATTTCAAAACTAAGTTTAATCCCCCATTGAAAGAAACTATTTGAAAGTGTCGAGAGCTACATGCAGTGATTTAGGATATGTGACGTTATTTCGAAACCAATGTGAAAGAAATAGTATTAAATAATTTACTATTTGTCAAATTTCAATCAATTCTTCATTCAAAGAAACTTGGTTTTAAGAGTCGGGAGCAATTTAAAGTGTTGTTAATCTATATACTCCGCACATATGGGATGTGTGAGGTTGGTTGTGGAGAGGCCGGTTGTATAAGGCGGTTACATCATAGCTGTATAGCAGCAGCGCTCGCTCACACACGTCGACACGTCGCACTTACAGAACAACCCGCGACCGTCGGTTGTGTAAGGCGTTAGGCGACAAAACAGTACATGACCTTGTTTCGATTTTCTAAAAAACAGCGACGGTTAAAGATTCTTCTAAACGAGATAAAAACGTTTCGGGATCTGGAACCCAATCCCGTCCTGAAATGAGAAATTGCCTCATACACAACAAGATTAGAACACAAACCCAGCCAATGCTAGGAAATCACAAAGGACAAACCACACAGAGGACTAGGCTATCGAGTATTCCAAACAAGAAGCAAAAATCGTGATCCCGTTCTCAGGTGAGAGAGTGCAAAGTTAGCAAGATTAGAACACTAACCAAGCTAATGATGGAAAATCACAAAATAACAAACCACACAGAAAACGATATAGTAGTCAAAATAAGAAAGAAGACTTCAGGAAAGAAAACTGCAATCAGTAAAATAGAGGGTAGTCCTCTAAACTGGGAAGGGTAGTCGAGTGCAAACACGTCCGTGTTCACCTACCCTCTATTGTACAAAACCAAAGATGAAATCAAAACAAAGATTTTAACAATTGTAGTAACATTTTAAAACATCTAAGTAATCCAATTTCAGGTTTACAGTGGGGCTTTCGGTGGTTGTCAACTGGTGAACGGTTTTATTTGTAAGTTCTAAGTGAGATAATAAGTTCAGTTTCACGTACCATACTATCAACAACAACTGAACAGTGTATAAAACAATAAAAGTATCACTGCTTGTAGCTTTACCTGTTCTTTGCTATGGGGTATAGTCTCAGCAAAATAATCCCTTGGAAGCTTATTAAAAACAGTTATAGTTACACCATATATGTAGAACATACCGTCGTTTCTATCGTAGTTTTGTTTATCACCTTCTTTGCGGATAAAAACACTTTTCCAACTTCTTTTCTAGTCGATTTGGGTAAATGACTATCCATTTTGTTGTTGTTTTTTTTACGGAGATTGCTATTTGAGTTTATCTATCTTTATGTTGGAAATTATTTCACTAATATTTCATCACCCTGAACATATTCCACATTATATGAGTTAAATAAGGCAAATTGTGTGAGGCTTAATTTCAAAAGCAGTGGATTTACTTAAACTAAAATATGTAGCTAAGTGAGTGGATATGGCCCCGAAAAGTCGGTAGCTTGTGATGTCTCAAAACCGGACCCTGCTGTTCTTAATCAAGGTATTGGGTTTATAAATGACCCTAAAGAAACAGCTCATCCACCATGCACTCCACTTGTATTCAGCTTGAACTACGCTTTTAGGTGGCGTTCCTGTTTTATAAGTAATGGTAACAATATTTTCGCAGGTTTGGCATTGGTGTCTTCCTTCAGGTCAGCAATTTAGCTTCCTCTGTCCCAACGGCACGGTGTTCAACCAGCTTTACCGTGTATGTGACTGGTACTTCAACGTCGACTGTCCTGCTTCACAGAACTTCTACAACGTAAATGACGACCTCTACAAGGACAGCAAGGGAAATCCAATCTGAATAATAAGTTTCCAAGAGACGTTACCCAGATTTGCTATTTAGCTGTCGTTTTTGTATATTTTTTTTATTTTTACACTTAAGTCCTATGAACGAGAGATAAATGTTGATTCAATAGGAATAGATTGATCAGATATTAGGCCTATGTTTTTCATACGTAGCCAATTTCAGGTCACAAACTGGAAGTGATTTAAATTTCATGTATTTTACTCAATTATAAATCGCTCACAGGACTTTGTAGTCTTGAAAACATCCTAATATGTATTTTGTTAGAGGTGCGTGTGTTTGATTTTGTTTTGCCAATAACGTGTGTATGTGTTGAAGCCTCATTATTATTTGCGTATAGATAAGAATTTCATGAGGTAAATTCGCAGCACGAGGAGGAACTTCATCCTATTGTGAACACCCAAACCTCATCCGTAGTTAGGTGGTCTTTCATACCAATTGTATTTTTCTATTTAACGACTCTTAGATAAGAGAATCGATTACTTGTTGAAGGGAATTATTATTATAGTCATTTGATACATCTACAATAAGTATAAAATTGTGTGATGTATACATTATGTTTCACTTGTAATATTTGAACTAATGAAAAATACGAGTATAGTTTATGATGAAGAGATGTGTTGCCGTACTTAATTTGAATGTTTCAGCTAAATGTTGTCATGATATGATTATAGAACCTTGTTTATATATTGAACGGTTATATAAACAATTTGGTTATATATTTGCAAATTTGAAAATGTAAAAAAATTTCATTTCAAATTTACACAATTTTCAACGACACTAAACACTATCACTGCCTTACGTTATTGTCGTAAATATAATAATCTATTTGCAACAATGATATTTGTATCCCTGAAAAATACAAAATCAAGAGCAATGTCGATATTAACTTGATTAATTGCAAGAAACTATTTTAAATCAAACACCTCAAATATTGTTGTGGCGTAATTGAATGGGCATAAAATAGAGTTATTCAGTTGCAGTTGCAACAAACTGTATATTATATTTATTTATTTATTTTGTATCTGCAGATTAAAGATATTTTTACACAACCATGAGTTTTTAATTCCAGTAAAGGTACTGTTATATATATAACACACAACAATCCTTGACAATCATAAACTTTATTTGTCTTTGTCATTTCTTTATTTGAATTCATTGTGGATGTTTGTACAGCTATGAGTGGTATATGTGGGCATATCTGTAATGGAATTACAAACATACTACGCAAATCGTGCTTAAATGTAGAGGAATCTTAAAAACATTATAAGTAATACCACTGTAGAAATCGTGAAAACACGTCATCTCAATAAGAAACATCTTTATAAAAATCATGGGAAACCATTGTAACGGTTAATCTCAATTAGAATTTATACACTTAACCTAAATTTTAAATGTGTACAAACAGTTTGAGTAACTTACCAAACAATTAAACAAAAATCTATGTCTGAAAAAACTGTGGGCATAATTTAATAAAGATGTTGACACTATCATAGGTCTTATATTGGTTTATTTATTTGCATGGTAGACAACATTTTTACAATAAATACATGAGTAACAATTTACATGATAAATATTAGAATATGAACAAACAGACAACACCACTTGTTTGCTATTAGAGTACAAACATAGCTAATGGGATTAAACTTGCTTGATAGTAAAAATTATTGCTGGCATAAAAATGACATCAGAACAGGTATGAACCAAAAATACATTGACAAGGATTTGTTCAAACATAACCAAGTAGATAACATGCTTAAAAATGTGACAGAAAAATAACGAATGCCAAAACTAGATAACAATAGATAGAAATTACAATATAATATCAATAACAAAGAAAATATAAATATATTTAACAGACAATACCTAAAAAAACAAGGACAATAAATGTAAATAACAGTAAAGTAAGATATAAATAAAAATTTTAAAACAAACAAGACAGCGAATTCTGGACCGTGATCTTGGGGGACATTTAAATGCAACTACATAACAATAACAACCTAAACTAGGAATTGTTTATGGTTTTCAGTTTGCAGGTGAAAATATCAACATGTTGGCAATGCTTGATTTCCAAGTCTGTGGAGCCGTGGAGTTGTACTGTGAAAGGCGTAATTAGTAGAAAAAGAAGTTTTTTTTGAAGAGTTGAATGTGCCTGAAGTGTCGAGAAACGTGGAAATTAATCAGGCGAAGTATTTCTGGTACATAAACTTTACATTCAACAACTTCCAAAGGAAAGACAGGTCTGCAGAATGTCTACGGTCGATCAGTAGGGGAAGAACCATACCGACGCGAATATCTTCAATCGGTACTACATAGAATTCATCGCCCAACTTGACGCCAATAGAGCGAAAAAGGCGAGCCTGAATTTTTTATACTCTTGATATATGGCTGATTTGATGTGGGTTCCATATCACGCAATGAATCATGCAATGAGTTCTCAGAGCATTTACATCAAGTCCGTATATGTATGTAGGTGCTCCTAGTCCGTTTAAGTCTGGCAGTAATAAAGGACAGTCCGTCACACCAGTAAAACATACCCAGCTTAGGACACGGCTAAAAACCTTGATATACCATAGGCTGTACATAACTACACGATCAACGCGAAATAGTGACTTGAAATAGTGATTGTAAATTGTAAATTATTATTGTTAATAAATCATTTATACCACTAAGTACTAAGCGTCCCACGATGACGTTCACTTGCATCTTTAGGTACTAAGGGACCCACGATGTGATGATCTTCGCTTCAACCTTTAACCAGGATCACTAGAGGTACTACTCGACCCACGACGTGGTGATGTTCACTTCAAATTTTAGCCTGGATCACTAGGTAGTAGATACTACGGGAACGGGACCCACGAAGTACTGATGTTCACTTCAACCTTTAGCCAGGATCACTAGGTACTACGGGGCCCACGACGTGATGACGTGGCTACGTCATTTCGCTTTTCCCAGTCTATAAGACCGCCCTGAAGTACGTGACGTACAACTCCGCGTCCAGACCCGCTCAGTACTACGCGACGCGACGCCCTGATTACCAAAGGAAGTGATTAGAATATAAATCATCCTATGACAAAACTATGACCGTTACATTACGAAACTCTGTGGAGGTTACATAACCAGAAAACCGATTCTTAGCTTGATGAAGTTGTCGACGTGCTTATCCTGGTGAATGTTAGGGTTAAGTGCGACTTCACTTTTAAAAGAAGTAATGAATATTTGCTCAACTTGGAGGAGTGGGGATACTCAATACACATTTAGAATGTATTTTAAAATATTTTGTACCAAGAATAAGCTTTGCACACTTATCTGAATATTTTAATTCTTCTAACTGTAGACGTTTAGGTAAACAGTATTTTGTAAAATCAACTAAAACTAAAAATGGAGAAAAATTTGAATATTATTCGTTTTGTAAACTACTGCGTAAAAAAATAGTGAATTGTCTAAAATATATGATGATTTAATCCATACATTGCCTTAAATAAGTCAGGCAAAGTTTGAAATAAGTCCTAACACTTTACCTAGTCATTGTTTAGAATGCTCGTTGGTATTACAGGTAAAGTATAATGTACGCTCTTTTAGAACTTTTATTTGACTTTCTCTTCCTTATTTGGTGGTAACTAATAGGATGTAACGTACACTAAACCTAACTGACTTAATATAACTTACTTCCATCTTATATTACATTATTATATTTATTGAATATTTATTATATTTGATTCATGACCATCAGTATTTTTTTAGTTAGTATTTAAATTCCCTTGTTACTGTATATTTAAATTTTATATTGTCATTCTTATTTATATTTTATATTCTTATATTTATATGTTGAGTGAAAGTCTTATATGACTGCCACCGTAGAAGACGGACATTTTTCCCTTGCTGTATTTATTTATATATTGTCAACTCTGTTAAAGTCCTTTTTACATGATTAATGCTACAGAGTAATTGGCATGTGCTGTTTTGTAGCATTGGAAAATAAAATAAAATAAATATATAAATAAATTACCCTCTAAATGCAATCTCATTATTGTAAAGTAAATACAAAGAGGAAATCTCTTTATTTTTTTCCTGCCAAAACTATGGGCACTCTATACAATGCCTAGGCATTTTACCACAGACAAAATAATAAATAATTTGTAGCTTGTCTGGACTATACACAATGGCCTAATCAATGTGGATAAGTTTCTATTGCTAATACTGTACTTAATTTGATACCATGTCTAAAAACCTCAGGTTATGTGCAGAATGCTTAGAGATTCTAACTAATAACTACATTACGCACGTTGCTGATAAAATCACATACAAATAAGAAATCTAAAAATTATAATTATACAAGCAAAGTGGCTAGGAGTTTTGCTAAAAAAGGAATTCCACATCAAACTCTCGCGGGATATATTATCCATATTGCAAGTAGAGCGGAACCTGAAGTATCGGTACAGTAGTGAAAGAGGTGACGTAGGAACAACACGCACAGCGTGTACGTAGGTGACGTTTCCCCAATTATACCAGGTGCCACCTTCGCACACCTGCTGATGCCACCTCCGCACACCAATCTCTACTTCAGCACTTCACACCTGCTAGTGATACCTTTGCACACCTATCTCTACTTCAGCACTACACACCTGCCAGTGCCACCTTTGCACACCTATCTCTACTTCAGCACTACACACCTGCCAGTGCCACCTTTGCACACATATCTCTACTTCAGCACTACACACATGCTGGTGCAAACCTTTGCTCACCTATCTCTACTTCAGCACTACACACATGCTGGTGCAAACCTTTGCTCACCTATCTCTACTTCAGCACTACACACCTGCTGGTGCTACCTCTGCACACATATCTCTACCTCAGCACTACACACCTGCTGGTGCAAACCTTTGCTCACCTATCTCTACTTCAGCACTACACACCTGCTGGTGCAAACCTTTGCTCACCTATCTCTACTTCAGCACTACACACCTGCCAGCGCCACCTCTGCACACACATCTTTACTTCAGCACTACACACCTGCTGGTGCAAACCTTTGCT